CTGTGATCACAGAAACTAAACCAGGCTTAAGTAAACACTAAACAACCGCATATTACAGAAATCCCAGTTGGAGACTGAGGTGAAACCACAGTGCACTAACACTACACTTATTATAATAGTTTCAGATGTTGGATCCACCTCATCTCCTCTCACATGGAGTATTGACGAAGTTGTCGAGTATTTCAAAAAATCAGACATTTCAAAATACGCTGAACTATTTAGACAACACGTACGTATTGTTTTATACTATCGCACTCCAATGCAACACCCAATTCATTCACATATAAAATTTAATTGCTTGGTTACCTTTGTTCCATTCTGTGGTTGCATTCTCAGAACAGTGGTAACTAGGCATGTGAGTCATCAATTAACTCGCGTATTTATTTTAAATGCTTGGTTACCTTTGTTCCATTCTATACTTACATTATCAGAAATGCGAGTTGGAACTGTTTTCTAATGTTTTTGGTGGTGTTTGTTGTCTTTGTTGTAATATATAATATCCATAATTGAATTATTTGAATCTGTAATTTCTCTGACTTTTAGCTTAAATTTACATTGATTTGTAGGAAATTGATGGTGGAGCATTGCTGTTATTGAACCGCGAGACTATTATGTCGTGTATGCAATTCAAACTGGGACCTGCATTAAAATTGCTCAATCATATATCGGAATTGAAGACAAAGTTTAGTTTATGATAGAAAGATGCGAGTAAAGATGCTTGTTCTTGAACAACCCGTATATTGTATCCTTTAAATAGGCATTTCACTAAATAATTTGTAAGATTGTATACTGTATATATATTTAGTGTATAAAATATTGTAACTTATTAAAGATTTGTAGTCAGAGGTTGTATGGGTTGTACATTTAAGTGATTTAATAGGCCCATAATTATAAGTAATAGCATGGCATTCAGGGCGATTAGTGATTAAATGTACCTGAAAGCCGAGAGAGGTTTAGTAAAAGGACTTTTACTAAACCTCTCGAGGCTTGAGGGCAAGATATCTATGCTTGAGGGACATTTCATCACTAATCGCCCTGAATGCCATGCTATCACTTTGTAATATCATAGTTGCTGAGGGAATCACGCGTGGCGTGTTGCCTGTTTTGAATGCTGTTTGATTGTCTTATGATTGTGGTACGAACACTTTTCATATATACGCACGCGCAGAAACACATCTGCGTGTTCATTCGTTTTAGGCATGCGCATAAACGGAAATTTCTCCCACAATTGAAATGTTCAAGATTAGGGAATAAAAGCTGGCAAAGTGATTATTCAGAGGTGATTATTCGAATGTGTATCGGACGGTGCCGATGATTTTCGATGAGGTACGCGTTTGTCTTCTAAATATCCCTCATCAAGCATGCAGGGAAAAATTAGAACTAATTTTACCACGGGCAAAATGTTCTAATTTTGCCCGTGGTAAAAATTAGTTCTATTTAAATTAGTGATTAATCGTACCTCGCGAGAGACAAAGGATTTCGAGGCAACTATGATATTATCGTATTAATCGTTCGATAAGAGATTCAAATCCTTACAGACAGACACATAACTGAACAGACAGACAAACGCCGACTGTCTTACGACAGGCTACGAATATGTCACGATCTTTTTGCAACTTGAACGAAATTTTTTAAATATTTTTTATAGAGAATATTTTGCAAGAATTTTTAAAATTTCCTTCACAGTATTTGGTCTAAAAATGTGAAATATCAATATCAGATAGGTAAGTGGTTTATTATTTTTTTACTGTAATAAAAGAGAATGATAGTTTTGCCTCAAACATATCCACTATCTGATGAATGAATGTAAATTTATCGCATCTCCTGGACACTTAAATATTTAATAATTCCCATTCATAAAACACCTGTACTTTGTATACATCTTTGTTAATATTGATATTTCTCCCTTTGTTACAGAGTTGATTTGAATGTAGATAAGAATAAATCCTAACTACCTGTAAATATCAAACCAAAATATGCTCTGAACAGAAGCCTCTTGTGCATTTGTTGACAGTGTGTTTGAAGTTGACAGAAATGACACAGTGTATTGTCACTGAACATGAGTGGAAAGACCTACAGGTAAGTGGTCCAAGAACTGTATATTTGTTCATATGAATTTTATGTTGAATGAGGTATTTCAAGGTATATAACTTTGCAATATTGCATTCATTTGACTTTTTTCCCATATGTCAGGGCTGGAAAGATTATGGCATATCTCTATCAACTCCAAGTAACGAAGCAGCTAAAATGCTTGATGCTCTAATGACCCAGGTACTTTACAGCCTGTCAAATGCCGATCTCACTTCCGAGGGCGACATTATAACATGTTTAGGTCAGACATTCCAACCACTGGAGGTAAAATTTAGGGAGACTGTTCAGTGAATTGAAAATTATCTATAGTTCTTCTGGGGAAAAAATAATAAAAATTAAGTCTTCTGAAATGGCGTTTCCTGCATTTTGGGACTATGTTGTTATAAGTGATCCTATAAATTGCCATAAAGCAACTTCAAAAAAGGTCAAGACAGACTATTATGTTGTTAAAAACAGTATATTTATAATTTTTTATGATATTTCCTGAATATTCTGAAAAATCGGGAGACCGGGAGATTGCATGAATTTTCAGGAGACTCCCGGTAAAATCGGGAGATTTGGAATGTCTTTTAGGTATACATATATATGCCTTGGTATACATATACATGCCTTATCGGGGTTTGTGAAGCCATCTTGTGAAGTGGGACAAACACAATCATGATAAAATCATTGCCTTGTCCCAATGGGAATACTTGTCCTTAGGGTCATGGTATTGTCGCTCTATAGTTTTTGCCCCACTTGGCAAGATGGCATCACATTTAAACATCATGTATACATCCAGGTGTCTTGTTCATTAATATATTGCTGGGCATATGTGCTATTCTTGGGATCATCCATCCTGGACTTTTCTTCCTTATAGTTATTTAGGTGGTATGAAGATGAAACTCTGGGTGGAATTGTTGGTACATTGAAACGTATCAAAGAAGCGGATCCTGATTATGGTAGGCATATATTGTTGACCACACATTGACAGTCAGCATTGTTTGTAATTAGCCAGCTTATAGCTAGCTACCTTTAATTCATAAGGAAATGGCGAACTGTTAAACATTTCTATCATGGGACTATTCCTATAGGATTTCTTATAGGAAATTCTACTCCTATAGAAATTTCTATAGGATTTCATGAGCTTCCTATAAATATTCCAGCCTATAAATGTCTAGTACATATAGGAACTGGAGAAGATTTTATCTTTAATAGTTACAAATATAATGTGTATGTGCCTATATAATAAACTTCTAATGAGGTTCCTTCCCAAATGTTCCCTGGTAGTACTTGAGAGAAAATGAAGTTTCATTATTGTTTCTTGCAGTACTTGGGCCATTGCTTCAAAGTCGTTTCAAGCTATCAAGCCACAGACTTGAGACATCTCCAGAACTTCAGGCATCACTCAAAGAAATGGAAGATTTAGCAAACGCCCATCCAGTTACTGATTGGGAAATGAAACTTGTTGGTGTTGTTAAAGATTTTGCAACTGGGTATGTTCATTTCAATGGGTCATTCCAGAAAGTTAACCCCCTACCCCCTTTGGGTAATACACTTACTATTCTCAGAAACAAATTTTTCTCCCCTCCCTCCCCCTTCAGCCGGAGGCCTGAAATTTCCCCCTTGTAGGTAGGGTGGATGTTTTCTGGAACAATTACCCCATATCTAAATTATAAACTAGTAATTATTTATATTATAAATGGATAACTTAAAGATGTTGTAAACTAAGTCTGTTCTGCGCATACATTTTGTGCAGGCCTACATTCCAATGGTTGGGATCCGACGATTGGATTGTTATACTTTTTCGCACCTTCCGAACTTTCTTGAATTGAATCTCTAGTCTGTATTCATTTACAAGTATAGCGAACCAGAAGAGTGTTAAAAATTCAGTATAATATATCTAATCATATTTTACAACTGTAGCACTGAGTTCAAAATGTAAACAAAGTGTTTGTTTACATTACAGACTTTACAGCATATTTAAATGTATTGCCTAATATTTCAATTTTTCTCATTCATTCTAGCCATCGTCATAAATCTCTAAGAACTTTGGAAGAAATGGTGGTTGATAACCCCAGAGACTTCTTTGCCTTGAGACTGGCTTACATGTTTGCACTTACACTTGGTGACTGGGCAGGAATTAAAAGCATTATGCCCAAAGTGCTGGCAACCTGGACACCAGATATGGCCTTTTATGGGTAACAATGTTAATAAATTAGTTATATGTATGGCTATAATTTGCATGATCAAAAGTATTTGAACTTTGTTAAACCTGAGTCTTTATAAACCTGAGTCTTTAATCTTTTAATTTAGTTTATAATAGCAGTATTCATAATTATAATACTCGACAGAGCTGCTTTCTTCATTTACCCAAGTCAAGGACAAATTGGGGTAAACATAAAGTCACTTATCATGCTGTGTATGACTATAACAACCTTGAGTCGGATTGTCAAAATGCCCAGACAATATCTCAATTTAAATCCAAAGTTTTTGACTGTCGGCCATGATGTACTATTGTTCTTCTCGACTTTTAAACTTTTAAACTTTTACCAGTTCAGCAAGTATACTATTGTAATGATAGATAATTTATGATATTTTTAACTTTTGACCACATGTAAATAGATTAGATATAATATTCTTCACTTTGTATAATACTAGTTCTATAGTACAGGTCCATTCTGAAAATCACTTATGTGAGAATGCCTCCTGAATAAAAGATTGTTATCAAACTCACCTTTTACTTAGTTTAATATAATTTATAGTTTTTATTATTACCACTCTTCTACTATATATGCTTTAACGAAACAGCGTTGTTAATTTTAATTTCCATCTTGTTTTAGTTATATTCATGGTATGTATGGCTTTGTTCTGAATGAGTTTAAGCAACCAAAAGAAGCTGAAAAATATACTTCAAAGGTACCATGCAGTGTACTGCAACAATTTAATTGTGTTTCCTGTATGTTTGCATGGAGAACATGAGTTTAGCAAGGTATTGTGAAGTTCATCATATTACCATGTTACCATGATATTATCAATCTTTTGCAGGCTCTGAATATCAATCCTTGTGACTGTTGGTCCACACATGCCACAGCCCATATCCTTGTTGAAACAAACCGTGCTGAAGAGGGAATCAAATTTATGGAAAAGAATGAACCCAAATGGACGGTAAGAATACAAAAAGCTAGTGAATGCATGGATCTTTATTACAAAAACTTGATAGTGACCCACTGACTGCATGCAATCCATGCATGCCCATCTGATCTGGCATTTAAAAATATTCATAGACGGGGACATTCCTTCTGGAACATAACTACTGGCATTGGGCACTTTTTCATCTTGATAAGGTACACATTATAGTTTTATTATAATTATATGATGTCTATAAACATGTGGGCCTAGTCGTTCCAATTGACGATTCCCCTTATTACGTTTTCGTAGTGCTTTGCATTGTGGTTATAGTGGTATCACTGGTATTCAAGATGATGTATTTTTTGTCTTGACCCGTGCAAAAACTTTTAAAAAAGCTAGGGTCAGGTGCGCGATAGCCAACAGCAAAATATTCACTAAAACATTCAATATCTTCATTCGAGGCCACTATCAATATCAGTGATACCACTATAACCACAATGCAAAGCGCTACGAAAACATAATAAGGGGAATCATCAATTGTATGATCAGAAGGCTACCTCCTGCACAAGCTTTTGTGAGAGAAGCACACGTCAGTTTGTTAATTGTTGCTTCTATTATATGTTCTGACTGTTCTGGGACAGCCATTCATGTGGCTGTATTCAGTTTGAGCGTTAGTTTTTTCTAACGTACAGTTCGTTTTTAGGGAGACTATGAATCTGTCATTGGAATTTTGGACGATTATGTAAGTTTGTTACATGAGGGCCTCCCCCCCCCTGTCTCTTGACCGGCCTAACCATTGTGCCAGCAATAATTGATGGAACATCTCATATTTCACTCTAGATTATATCGGAATGTTGTCCAGGAACAAGTTTTGCTCTATGTGATGCTTCTTCTCTACTCTACAGATTAGAAATGGAAGGTATACTTTGATTACAGTCTGTCATGAGAATGCATGCAGGCTTGCACGTGTTGTAGCTATTCTTAAGCATGGATGAAACGAGACTGAGAGTGCATGAGAGCTAGGTGGCAGTCATGAGATCTTGGTTAACTGTTCTTAATGCTTTCCCTGGCCAACACTATCATGTATTGTATAGAATAATAATAATGATTGATTAGCGATTCCAAATTGAATTGGCTCTTCTATCACTAAATTAACTAATCTACATTAACAAGTACTATATTTACAATGAGTAGCTATGAAGAGTTAATCTATGAAGAGTTAATAAATCTACAGTGCATTCACACAGTCACTGTACATATTTCACAAACAGATATAACAAAACATAGTCATTTATACCCTGACCCGAGCCTCTCATGGGCCAAGTCTGTGAGATAGACTTTCACTTATTCTAAAAATGTTGAAATCAATTTCGCAAACAATCTGGTAGAAAGTTAAATGCAGCTGCAGCACTGTCCTGAAATGTTCCGCTTTTGATTGGCACTTCAATTTGGGTCTGTGATGATGATCGTAGAGTTTGTCCTGGTACATACTGATCTACCTAATATATATGAGTTCATAGTTGGAACACTCATCAAAACTTTATTTTGTACTGCCAACTCTCATCAACTCTCAGCCTCGTTTGACTGTTGTTTATAATCGCAATGTATCAGGTTTCAAATATGCATACATGACTATGTAGGTGTCCCAACTGGAAAAAGGTGGGAAGCAATAAACTCTCTTTGGAGTCCAAGTGAACATGCATCGGTAAGGAGAAATGCAATTTATTATTATGGATATGTGTAGATGGAATTAGGTTTAATATACCCAATTTTTCGAGTGGTTAAATTCTGGTCAGATAGACTAGATTATGGTTAAATTCTGGTCAGATAGACTAGATTATGGTTAAATTCTGGTCAGATAAGCTGGTCAGATACACCCTAACCAGGTTTCAAATATTTTCTTATGACCAAAATATTTTAGGTGTTCATTGAAGTTCACATGATGATGAATCATTTGTGTGCAAAAGATTACGAATCAGCCAACTCGCTTCTTGAATCATGTGAAAAGTTTGTAAGGTAACCTAAGGTTTGTTAGATATTCCAAGGAGATTAGGGATTTAGTGCCTAATTTAACCTCTGTGTCAATGTTTTGTTCGTTTTTTTCAGCGAGGGTAAAGGAACAAGCTGGGAGGTCACGAAGGAAGTCGGAGTTTCCTTGTGCGAAGCTATGATAGCGTTTGATAAGGTATTAAGTCATATATCGACTTTCATGGTCATTGATACATAGATATATACTAGATAGATATTTAATAAAATTTCTCCCTGAAAGGAATTTTCAGAAATTTTTTTTCATTGATACATGAATTCAAATATCACCAGAGTTAAGATGACGTCATTTCTTTCCACAGGCGAAATATGATGACGTGGTAGAACTGTTGTTACCAGTACGTGATGACGTCATCAGAATCGGGGGAAGCAATGCACAGGTATTGACAACATGATCTATAATCTTCTACCACGTGTTTACGACTCAATTCCCCCAGTTATGACAAGGTTGCTGTGACTTATTTTCTGTTTAGAGAGATGTATTTAATCTACTACTCACTCATGCAGCGATTCAATGCTCTGGCAGTAAATACAAGAATCTTGGAAGGTAGGTCAAAGTAGAATCTGCCAATTTTTTATTGGGTCCTAATCAGTGAACCCCACATTTTGACGATTGCAGCTCTTTTTATAGTGAAATGATTTTAGGCATTTCACATTTTCACTTGGTCGAACTGATTGTGGAAGGATTCTGTGGATAGAAATTTTGAATGTAAATTTTGTACATTTATGAGAAATAACCAGGAACAGTTGTGAAAAATACAACTGGACGTTGTAGCTCAGTTGGTTAGTCAGCGCTGCACCGGAATCGTAGGGCCACGGGTTCAATTCCTGCCAAGAGGACCTATTTAACAATTAGTCGCCGAAGGCGAGGTGATGACAAGTCTATATTCACTGAGCCGAGGGCGACGTGAATATGCCTATATTCAATTCCCGAACCTGAGGTGACTAATTGTTTTAGTATAATTTCAGTATTGAAAAAGTATTTTATTTATAAATGCAACTAATACACGTGTTTCTTGGGAAAAGCAATAGTTACTACTCGAGCAGTCTGAGCAGGAACTATTGCCTCAGAGTTACTGCTGAGGGAGCCAATCAGAATCCTCAAAGGCCATTTTTCAATGCTGAAAATGAAATTATACTAAACATGTATGATTGCATCACAACTGCTCCTTAATACATCGACCACCTTCATATGGTCCGCTGGATTTTTAGCTAAATAAGACTTCCCCAATGTCTCTTCAGGAAACTAATTCAAGAACGAAAACAATCAGATGGCGAAACCGGAGTGACAGAAAGATTACAGGAACGTTTGGTAAAAAGGACTTGATAGTTGATACAAAATAAGGTTTTATTTTAAAATAGCATCTGTAGATTGTCTTATTCAAAAGGCATAAACGAATAGAATTATAGACATATCATTAATGAATAAGATTTGTAGATTGACATACATTTATGTTTATAAGTAATAAGAGCTATAACAGTACGTTCCACAAAACAAGGTTTTATTTTAGAATGACATCTGCAGACAGTCTTACTCAAAAGGCATAAACGAATAAAATTATAGACATATCATAAATGAATAAGGTTTGTAAGGGTTGTTTTGAATCTTTCTGACATGTACGTTCGTAAACTGGACCGTCATATTTAAGTTTTAACGTCGAGCTTTTTGTGGTATGAGATTTGACTCGTAGTGGGGAAAATCATTTAGACATAACCCATTAGTGACAAATGGAGAAAACACATAAAGACATTCCACTTTCACATTTTTGACCTGAACTATTGAATTTTGGCGCCATCAAGTTAAATTCTTTCTACTCGTAATGCATCCCAAACTTTGTCTGTTTGTGTTGTTGTGATTGTGGTAGACCCAGGGCCAAGACTTTGATTAACCTCGACATTTTCAGTTGAACCACAACAGTGACGTTGATTAAAAAGCTTTGTGTAGTAGTATCATTAGATGTTTTCACTTAATGATCTCCACCGTGCTAATCAACCTTGTATGTTCTATTGTAAGACACTGCAGTGTATTGTTTCGACTTTGTTCGAAAAAATTGTGGTTTGATTGAGTAGCTGTGCCTAAGATGTAACTATACTATCATTTTGTAAAGGATTTGATATAAACATATTTGATAACAAAAAGGAAAAAATATTTACAAGTTTGAGTCAAAAGCATTTTGCTTATCTATAGGACTCTCACTTGTGGTGAAGGTTGTTGAGCTTCCAGAGCTTATTCGATACTCTATAAAGAAATGTACTTGTCTTCATGCCACAGACATACGTTTTTTAATTAACTGTGGTATTCTTGAGTTACTTTACATATAGGATATTGTTAATCAGAAAGCTTCGTAGACACCCGTGGAGGAAATATCAAAACAATCTTTCAAGGTATGTATTTGTGGCTATGCCTTGTTTAAATAACTAGAAATTACTTGGTATAACTGGGCTTCCAAGAGTTTGCTAAGCTTGTGTACTAAAAAATAGCACTGTTATACGCATTTACATTTTATCAATAGGGTGTATGTTCGAAACTGGTTCTAAGTTTGCCACTAATTCTTTGAAAACTCCACCATCATTCATTTGGCTAAACGTAACCAAACCAGATCTTCATCATTATATGGAGTGAGGACGATAGCGCCGTCCCTGATTGGTCCAATGATAATACTACAGGGGGAAACGATCTGGAGATAGCAAAACTCGTACCCAGTAACCCAGAGTCTTTTCTCCGTCACACTCTGGAGGCATCGCGGTTTGCTAGACTTCGGTCAGGCACTCTTCTCATATACGACTGATGCGATCTTATAACATTTGAGTTGCTCTCAACATTGCTTTCAATACATTAAAAGTATCCCACTGGTCTCGTTGACCTCCTGTAAATCGCATGCACAGAACGTTCAATTTCCTCAAATCTATTATGTTGTATTTTCCTAACATTGATTAATGATACTGGCCTGGTCATGTTTGTTGTGCTTTGTACTGTATATATTTAAACGACTCATTAACACTATTCTATATGCCAATAATGTTTTACTTTGCCACAATGAAATACAGAGTAGGCTGTAGGCGAACGGTATCTAAATGAAGCTTGCTGAAAAAAGTCTGAATCTTGCTGTAACAAGTCTTAGAAATATTGATGTTTACATAAACAGTTTTATGCAGTGTTCCTAGTATTGTATTTCACCCCATACTAGGCCAGAGCTCACTGGCAACATTTGAAAAAAGCTTTTAATTAAAATTACTAAGTGCTACAGGGGCTCGTTTGAAGGATAATTACTTTGTTCTGTTGTGACAATTAGTGAAACCCTCAGCTAGCCAAAGGTCAGAGTCACTTCGTTCGTCTGTTTTCGCAGAGCTTAGTGAGAAAAGTAACGTCTAATCTGCTAACTTGTTTTATAGAGTCGAGTTGGATCTTTGGGAAAATAGTTGGGGAATTCTGAAGAACGGACACATCTCAGCAGGTTTGTGAATAGACAGACTCCACATATGCTGTGCTATAATTTTTAGCGGGTTTAATTACTTAGCTGTTAAAACGAACTATTTGTTTTGCTGTAAAAACATTTGCAGTATGTTAATAGTCTTTCCTATCGTCGTATGTACTCTGTATATAATTTTGTTTGAGCATTTGAAGTTTCGTTGCAAAGTTGTATGATTTCGGGAAGTTTTAGCCAACAGCTGTTTTCGGTTGTCCGGGGTGCGAAAAATCCTTTAATGCGCCATTAACTGCTTTATCTCAGTCCATTTAAACATGTCTAATATCTGCGGTGAATTATGAAGCTAAATGTGTTTCACTACCAATTTCGCGGGTGTGTTTTTGTGCATTAATATACTGCGATTATTACTCCTTACTATGCAAGAAAATTGCATGCGATCGAAAAAGCAGCTTGTTTCACCATTAATTATATTATAGTTCAATAAGCCATTTGCAGAATTACTGGGTCATAGCTCTCTCCTTCGCAGAGACTGTAACTAAATGTAATTAAAGATGAAAGTAACATGCACCCGCACCGAATAGTTTAGCTGGTTTGCAAGGGCTGGTTCGTATGCACAAAATGTGTATAAAATCTATGTACATTTTTACCAATTTATGATATTCAGTACATGCAAAGCAGGACTTCTGCCATTACGTTTAGTTAAAAACGAAAAACTCACTTAGCCGTTTCATGACGCATTTCAGCTCATTATCTATTGTCTTTAATGTATTCGGCACACATGAAACGGGTCTTATAATGTGATGTTGTCACACCGGCTTATTTTAAACCCTGTCTTTTTGTCCAGTGTTTATATCACAGGAGGAAAAGCCGGTTCCAGACGAGCAAGTTTTCTATGACAAGTTTTTATGTGACAAGTTTTATTTGCTCGTCTGTACGCGCAACTTTGACAAGTTTTTTATGACAAGTGTTCAAAAGCTAGCATGCTACCTTTTGAACAAGTGCACTTGTCATAGAAAACTTGTCAAATGGCATCTGAGCATTTCATGTGATTGGTCAGCGGACTGTCATGGCGGCGATAATCACCTTTTTCTGACACGTTCACACCAGTAAATAAAACTTGTCGTATGAAAACTTGTCATATAAAATTTGTTGCATATATTATACACACGTGAACTTGGCTAATAAAAACTATCACATAAAAAGTTGTCATAGAAAACTTGCTCATCCGTAACTGGCTTTAAGCCCGTTCTCCACTAGGCGAATTTTTTCGCGCGACGCGAAGCGAAAAACAAATCTTGGCAATGTGATTGGTCAGCGAAAAAATTCGCCGCGAAAAAGTTGGATCAGTTCCTACTTTTTTACTGTTCGCGCGAACAAATTCGCCTAGTGGAGAACGGGCTTTACAAGTTGTTATTATCGTCACTCCAGTTACATATTGGAGCTCTCCGACACTGTTAAGTGATTAATAATTGACAGTTCCTTGTGGAGGTACTGATTGAAGATATATGCAGATGAGGAGATTACTTTCAATGCCGCCGATATTCGCCCTCTTGACAGAACTAATAAAATTTTATCTCATCAAATCACAAAAATTTGCTCAAAATCCCATCTTATACGACAGTTTGTCATATATCATGGGGAATTTTCGTTTAAACTACATAAACTATTTTTTAGCTGACCTGAAATTGTATAAAATTAGTCTTACAGTTGCAATACAGCGAAATACAGCGGTGAATTCTCATTAACTTTGAGAGATAATGTTCACGAGTGAGATGTTTTGATAAGACGCCTGAATATGCACTTACATACTGTACAAGTTTTCACTCACGAAAAATGCGATAGTTGTCAAGTTGGGATAATTTTGGTAGATTATTTTTCTCTTTCAAATTTCATGATATATATAGCGTGATTCGATAAGGATAAGTTTATCGTGAATAAACTCAGACTATTAACTAAACTTCACAGTTTTGTACATTCAGCTTTTTGTATGAGAATAAATGTTTTTGTACGTTTGTAAAACTAACTTCGTATCTTACTGCAAGATTTTCGAAGAAAATAGGCTTGAATCGTTGCGATACGTTTCTGACACATTTGTATCAACCGAGTAATGCTCATTGTCATAATACCGCTACATTCATTAATCCTAATGAAACTTCATTGCTTGGCGAATTAAGAATACATAGAATCTGCCAATGAGAGCAGAGTTACTATAAACACTATTTGGCTTGGTGTAATATATTATTTTGACTATGAATGCGACCATCTGCCTTTTATGTTATGTTCTGTTCTATCAATACTGCAATAACAACGTCTAAGAAATTCAATACAAACAAGATATTGATAACCCAAATGTCTGTTGCAGCTTGAAAATAACGGTAATTTTTTGAACATGCAAGCTTAATTTTCATGTCGGCTTTCTTAATTGTGGTTCGTTGTTGTGGTTGTTATCGATAAACTATGATACTCGTTACTATAATCTTTATATTTTGGTTTTTTATCCTTTTTCTATTTAATTTCAGGTCTTTGTGCGAGGCGAAGAAACGGTTCGAAGTAAGTATTAAGACAGGGTATAAGATATTTTGTGTAGTTTAATCAACTGGTAATCTTCCCTTAAGCTTAGTTGAAAATATCACCTAATCTGTCTAAGTACAAGTGACGGCATAACCATAGCAATATATTTGAATGCAAGCAGGGTTTTTGGTTTTTGCTGAGGTCTTGAGGACATTAAGCCATGGTTTCCATATGGTCGTAACGGTCGTAAAGATTGAGTCACGATCTTTCTCATCAGCTGAAATACAACATTTTAGAACTGAAAATATACGCGGAGTGATTAAACTCGAGAATACGTATGATTCGTATATGTGGTTTACAGGTATAAACTATTATAAACTGGCCATTGAGAAAGATCGCAACCAATGAGATTGCGCGGAAAACACTATCCATTCCCTGGGTTACACACATTGTAACAACGCACAAGTTGCAACAAACTTGCAGCAGGTTTGTAGCAATGCTGTTCCAACAATTTGTCGCACTGCTTGTTGACAAGTTGTCAACGGCTTGTCGACAACTTGCTACAAGGTTGTTGAGCTCAACTGACTAGCAAGTTGTTCTAGCAACTTGTTCTCGTCCTGCAATTCAACAAGTTGTGAGTGAACATCCTTGTAGCAACTTGATAAAAAAAACAGCGTTGTTACATCTTGTTGACAAGTTGTTAGATTTGTACATGTGCATATACTAATATTAATATTGTCTCCTGATAGGTGCACATAGCTACAGAGAAGATGTCCCTACAAATCATCTACTACACCGTGCTACTCATAGCCGTCTTGCACGTCTCTCTAGTTCGCAGTGTATTTTTCTTCTCGGGGAAAAAGCAAAAGGTCAACGATTCTGAAAGCTACACGATCTTCTTAGAAAATATGGAATTTCCCTCGAAAAATGTTCCAGATGGAACTGGAGAAAACCTGCCCTTGTATCGGAATGTGTCTAGAATCTATACTACTGACCAACGATGTAAGAAAGGTCTACCTCTAAGTATGGCTCTCGTGCAGTTTTCTCCCTACGTCTATGACCGTTTGGGCGCGAAATCGAAATTTGTTATTGTAAACGGGTAAGCATAGTAGGGAGGGGTGTGTGAGAAAGGAAGAAAGGCTGTGAGGGAGGGAGGGAGTTCGTAGTAGGTGGGCATGGAGATGGATGTGAGGGATGTAGGCAGGGAAAGGGATTGTGAGTAAGCTAGAGGGAGTGTGTGAGAGAGATAGGCAGGCAGAAAGGGGAGAGGGTGGGTAGGCAGATAGGGAGAAAGCTGCAGCTATCCAATGTAAATGTAAATTCAGTTTCCTCTTGTATTAACTATCAATCAAAAAAGAAGGCTTCTGGAGAGAAAAGTAAGAATGGTGGCGCATTCAGTATGAATAAAGTTGGTTTAGTTTTTCTTCTGTAATAACAGCCGACCATCTGAGGAGAACAACTTCGAAATAATATAGCTAACGAGCTTAAATAGATTTAGTTTAGTTAAGGTTTAGTGGCACCGGACAGGTATGGCCATTGCTGGGTTTCCTGGGAGAACGGTTTGAATGTGATAGAGTTATCTGCTATAGAAATAAAATTAATTGTAAATATTTCTGTTTTTTAGAACTAGAAAACTGAAACCTAAACTTTTATTTAAATTTTATGGTATGTTCCCTGAAATTCTGAAAAAAGCCATTCCGACATGTTGCGATTCCAAATCAGACATCAAGTATGCAAAACTACTGCTCGAACAGCACGTGGATCCCGAGGTGGAACATGAGTATGATTTCTCATTCCCGCTATACGGCAAGAGTATGCAGGATGCGATGTATCAAAGTAACCCCTTCATTCCTATCATTCAAGCTCCGAGCGTGGCATTGTTGGTACGGAGTGAGAGTGTGACGTCCGGAAACACCAAGTTTATTGCCAAGACTATCATTGGATTTTGGCCTATGTATCTCTTTATTCTGCTCATTGCGAGTTCCGCTGGGATTATCATGTGGTGTTTGGTAAGTATGTTTTTATTAAAGAAACAATTATGTTAATGAGTTATGTTACAGAGATGTCTGCATTAGAGAGTTGTCTGTATTAGAGAGAAATTTGTATTAGAGAGATGTCTGTATTAGAGAGATGTCTGTATTAATAGATGTCAGTATTAAGGAAGTGTCTGTATTAGAGAGATGTCTGCATTAAAGAGGTGTCTGTATTAAGAGGTGTCTGTATTAAGAGGTGTTTGTATTAAGTGGTGTCTGTATTAGGGAGGTGTCTGTATTAGGGAGGTGTCTGTATTAGGGAGGTGTCTATTAGAGAGGTGTCTGTATTAAGAGGTGTTTGTATTAAGTGGTGTCTGTATTAGGGAGGTGTCTGTATTAGGGAGGTGTCTGTATTAGGGAGGTGTCTATTAGAGAGGTGTCTGTATTAAGAGGTGTTTGTATTAAGAGGTGTTTGACTGTTTGTATTAAGAGGTGTTTGTGTTAGAGAGGTGTCTGTATTAGGGAGGCGCCTGTATTAGGGAGGTGTCTGTATTAGAGAAGTGTTTGTATTAGTGAGGTGTCTGTATTAGGGAGGTGTCTGTATTAGAGAGGTGTCTGTATTACAGATATGTCCGTATTAATAGATGTGAGTATTAAAGAAGTATCTGTATTAAGAGGTGTCGTTATCAAAGATGCGTGTATCAAAGAGCTGTTGACAGTTCGAATATTCGTTTGCTTGTGTAGGATCGTTCCAAGAATGAAGCTCATTTTCCAAAACCATTTATTAATGGAGCATGGGAAGGCCTTTGGTGGGCGTTCATTACTATGACAACAGTTGGGTGAGTAGTACACTTGAACTGGTAGTCCTGGTTTTCTGGGTAGTGGATGGTGAGATATTTTCATAATAGTTGCACAAGATAACTTAATTTCTTAATTGTACGCGCCACCAAATACAAGAAAAATGCAGTGGTGCAAGTATTGTGCCCATGGGTGGATTTACTGGGGGGGGGGGTTAACCCCCCCCCCTAGAAATCTCTCTAACCCCTCTAATAAAGTGTTCAACCCCACCAAAATTTTGCTTCACCCCTCCTATTTTGTGTGATAAGCTTTAACCTAAACGCCTAACTCCTGCCGAAGCTCACTGAGTGGTGCCACTTGCACTCCGCCAAAACTATCTCTACCCTTCGATCTTTTAATGAAATAAATGAAAATCCGCCCCAGTGAGCTCTATATATATATATATCTGGAGTAAGAACTTCAGTCATTCGGTCAATGAGAGAAGTGAAACCAAGATGGCGACCATTGACGTCCAATAGCTCTGAAGGTCGTAAACAGTTTTTATACCATTTTCCCAAGCTAATTCCAATTTTTTATAATGGACCGTATCACTAATCAAGTTTTCAGTTCATTAAATCACAATATCATTCTTTAAATCGAAGTCAAAATACGAACTTTCAACACACTCCTTGCCAAGATGGCGGAAATTGAAGGAGCGGTTGGACGTCAGTTCCAGTCCCTTTCTATTGTTTTTGTATGCGCGGTTAACACGAAACTGGCTTCACTTTGAGCAACCAAGTTCCTACTCCAGTTATATATGGAGCTCACTACACTAATCACAATATTATTCTTTAAATCGAAGTCAAAATACGAAGTTTCAACACACTCCTTGCCAAGATGGCGGAAATTGAAGGAGCTCTTGGACGTCAGTTCCAGTCCCTTTCTATTGTTTTTGTATGCGCGGTTAACACGAAACTGGCTTCACTTTGAGCAACCAAGTTCCTGCTCCAGATATATATGGAGCTCACTGATCCGCCCTTTATTGTGCCACACTCTTGTGTTTTGACTTCGATGAGATTAGCGATACGGTCGGGTAGCTCCCTTTTCTAGTATGATCAACCTTACCCACGGGACCAGGGGCAAAATTTCCCCAGGGGGCCATAGAGATTATAAATAACACTAGAGGAGGCATCAAGTTTAAAAATTGGGAACGCAGCTAATGGGGGGCAAATTCAAGTCCCGGATATAAAATCGTACTCTCATTGGCTGATTTGAAACTCGTCACCAATGAGAACACGAATACACATCCGGGACTTGAATTTGCCCCCCAATAGTCGCGTTCCCTTTTTTTTACTGAATTAAGATTACAATGCCTCCTCTAGTGTTATTTATAATCTCTATGCAGGGGGCCCTATGACGTCATAAATGTAAAACGAAAGAAGCGGTGTTTTACACTATATTGCACTTTATTGCATATTATCCTACACAAACGCAGCTAGGATTCATATTCTTAGTTAAGCAGTCTTGTATCAAAACATTTTAAGGGCCATCGTTGCTTTGGGGGCTCTATTCAGCTTGGGTGCCTGGGGCAAAATGTCCCTCTCATTCAGCGGCCCAGGAAATATTTAACTTTTTTGCACGACTCGTTAATTGAGTACTGAAAAGACTTCGCAAAATCGACTTTCATATTGATAATGACATGTGGTTTGCAAGACATAAATTTCGCTTTTTACCCTACTTGTGAGGTATGCACATGCCAATGCCTATCCAAGATGGTGGAATGCACGCTGTCGCTGCTTTTGATCAAAATATTAAAGTTGATTTATTTGAAAACCAATGACGATACGGAATAGTTGTAAAAGGAAGTTTATATATCATTTATATATAAAATTAAGACAAACTTAATAGACCTTTCCCCTTATAACCAAAATTTTGATCTAGGCAAGTCTAGACAAATATTTCATCACAGCTTGAAAGAGCATCACAAAATTAGTAATATTCCAAAGTTTCGTTGCGAAATGTTGTAAAATGAGGAAAATAGAACCTTGCGAAGTTCGCAACGAAACTTTGGAATATTACTAATTTTGTGATGCTCTTTCAAGCTGTGATGAAATTTTTGTCTATATCGAAATTTTAGTTATAAGGGGAAAGGTCCATTTATATTGCCATATCCGTCTTTAAGACGAGACTTTGGACGAGCCTGACTAAATGAATTGTTCTGCTTTCTTCCTAGATATGGCGATCGTACACCCAAATCATTTTTTGGTCGTTTCTTCTGTATTTTGTGGATAATATTTGGCATTGTGATAATGTCCATCTTATCTGGCTATATAAATGCCGTTTTTTCTGCCAGCACTAAAAAAAATTTTGATATGCATGGAAAAAAGGTACGTTCGTTTTCAAAAGTAAAATAATTTAAACCATAGTAAATAAAATAAGAAGGAACTCGATACAAACATAATAACAGTGTTGTAGCGAGTCAAGTCGTTGGCCGGGCTGTGTCGCTGTGACACTAATTAACTAATTCTAATTAATGTTGTAATTAATTATTTTTTTATTCTGTAAAAATATTCTCCAGAAATTGAAGGAAATAAAACTTACACTCGGTCGAGTCGCAATTAAGCAATTTTCTGCGAAAGTAATTGTCGATTCAGATAGGCATGTTTCCACTAGTAGGGAAATTTTATAAGGCATTTTTGTTCACCATACAACTCGATTTGAGTGAATTAGCCATTGACTCGACTCGAGTGAAGCCATTGACTCGACTTGAGTGAAGCCATTGACTCGACTAGGACTCGATCAAATAGTGAAATGACTCGACTCGTCACTCGACCTTTGGGTGACTCGACATGTGACTCGACCTGTTGGCGACTCGGTTACAACACTGTCACTGGATAATAGTATAAGAACTGAAGCTACCATCTCTATTTAGATTGTAACTTCCATTGTAAGTTCTACTTTTAATATTCTTAAATCATATGTTACTACATATTCTTAGTTATAGTATCTTACAGTTGTAAAACCAGTGTAATTCAGTTTTAACTGCAAAATTGGTTGTCAATAAAACGGTTATAAACGATCATTATTAGATCGGTGCTGTAACTGGGAGTGCGGAATTTAAATTTGGACTGAGCCAGAATGCGGACATGAAAGGTAAAACACTCTCGCTTAAATTTTACCCAGTCCTATCACTCTTTCTAACTTTATTCAGCCTTACGCTTACTGCCTTAGGACATCAAACTTGATCTAGCCTTAAGTTCAGTCCAGTTCCAGTTCTTCATCTTTTCCTGGGACTTGATATATATAATGGTGTACCTTCAACATTCGTGTGAAGTTAACACAATGTGTCTACAATTTAGGATACAAATTGGCCAGCGTAGCATTTACTGATCTACAGCGCCATAAGACTATTGAAGGAATGCTTATCGACAGCTACATTGTGAACGCCCTTGGGGATTATTTTCAAAACTATAACGTTCGTACTCATGAAATGATCGATCATCCTATCACGTATGGTATCAGGATGGCGCAAGGCTCTAAAGAGCTTGAGAAATGTATCAGAAGATATCTCAGAGATCATCCTCAAGAGGTTTTTGATATGTTAAGGAAGAGTCTAAAACCGGTGAAGGTGAGGGGATTGATTGATACGTCGGCCTTCTGCCGTACCTAATTTCCTCGCATGAAAAGTAAACCTTCTGAAACGCACCTAAGCTAAGGCCTGGAACCTAGTAATGTATAATATATTAGCAATTTAAGATTTTGCACTGAAATTTCTGATATAGTGTTCTTGCATTTTGGCACGTTAAGCCGGTTTTTCACTTCGCTCGTATCGTACCGAAACGTACTGGTGAGCATGCGCAGATTGAAAAGAGGTTTATAAATCCACGTACTTCCGGATGTATTCGCGTATCAAAATAAAAAGTTCGTCACCAGCCAACTTTTTGGCGTACTACGGAAGTACTAACCAATCAACATTCACGAAATTTTGAAATTTAAAAACGTTTTTGATACGTTTCGGTACGCTTGAAGTGGAAAACCGGCTTTACTCAGGGCCGTAGCGAGGGGGGGCATTTATAAAATTACCTTATTTGGAAAAGTTACAAGCTTATTCGGAAACGAGGGACCAGGGCCGTCGCTATAAGGAGGTAGGGAGTGACACCCCTCCTGAAAGCATAATGTTGGCAAATTGTTTTTGTAATCAGCGAAAAATATTTGAGTGGTTCTGATTAAAAGGTAATAGTTATACATGTACCAAACATTTTAATAAAATTTACGAAGATATTACCGAAAAAATTACGGTAAATTAATTTGGGTTAGTGAAAATTGGTGTAAGGGGGCTACACACAGAGCATGTGCGCGTTCAAGGCAATCATTCGGGTTTATCAGAAGGCTGGGCCCCAGTTATATTCATTTCAATGGTCCTTCAAGATTTGCTAAAATGTCACATGTTATAAAATTTTGCCATCTCTCCAGAATCCCAAAGATCGTGAAAATCTTCAACAAAAAGAAGCAGAGAAGTTGTTTCACCAGGATAAAATTATAAACGACGTCCGTCTCTATGGTGCAATTCTTGTTGCCTCCATTTTGTTCATTGGTCTATGTTTACAAGGAATAACGTATTGCACTCGCATGTTGAAAGGTATGGACAATAAAATAATGGCATGGTTTAAATTAACTGGGGCTGGTTGTACCACCAGAATCTGATTTCAACGCATGTTAATTGAAAATGTTTACACATACATTACAAATCACGAGACAACATGTGTCAACATTTCTACTTAACATGCGTTGAAATCAGATTTTGTTGCAAGTTGCAGCAATGTTGTTGCTCGTATTACTCCAGCTTTAGTGATTTTTTCAATCTTTCTAAAATTGTTCGCTGATTGGTATAAGCCAAACTAAACTTTAGTATTTATAAGTTGAAGTTTCCTTTTATTATTTGCGCATTTTCTGTAACATGTTTTGTATCGGTCAAAAGTAATTGTTTTGATGGAAGAAATGTTTTTCGACAATTTTCAGAAAGTTTAGAAAAGTGTGAGGCACTTCTGGAATTTTTAAAAAAATCACGGTGGTCCCCCTTTGTTCACCCTATGGTTTTCTGTGCCCCCCCTTTCATTTCAGCAAAATTTTTACAAAGATGTTTTTATCAGTCAAAAGTAATTGTTTTGATGAAAAAAAAGTTTTTGGATAATTTTCAGAAAGTCTGGAATAGTTTGAGGCACTTTTTAAGAAAATACTGTGGTCCCCCTTTGTTAACCATAGAGTTGCCTGTTGTCCCCCTCTCTATTTTGCATTTTGAAACTTGTTTTTATTGGTCGAAAGTGATTCTTTTGATCAGAAAAAAGGTTTTTGACAATTTTCAGAAAGTTTGGAATAGTTTGGGACACATTTTGAATTGAATGTGGGTGGACCACATATGCAACCCTTGGGTTAACTTGCGATCAGGCCTAAAAATAAATCGATCAGGCCTATAAATAAATCAATAGGCCTGATACAAACCTTATATACAAAAGTCCATGTCGTACAACTGTATTTCGGTTGTAAATCTGGTTGGTCTATGAGACAAAAGATTATACTATTGTTGTTGATATATTTTATAGTGATCACAACTATAATTAGATTGTTGTTGTCGTTGTGTGAAATTTATATTTCTCGTGCGACATTTTGATCAGGGACCGCGGAGACGGGGGGGCTGGGGGGGCTTTAGCCCACCCACTTTTTTTGACAGCCAAAATTATTAAAATAGAAATCTAAATGAAACTTTCTAAATTAATTAATTGGGGGTTTTATTGATGATTTAGCCCCCCCACTCTCTAATACGCTCCGCGGGCCCTGTTGATTGGATACTAAATATAAACTTTGCTGTGGGTGGAAAGCGATCGGATTGTGTCAGGCTCTTTGTAAAGGTTAGCACTATTTTCCATCCAGCAAACTTAACCTGACGTCATTTTCGGAAGATAGAAGGGGTGTTAAATGGCTATGTAACTAGCCCAAATCCTACCCTACTCTAACCCCTAACCCTAACCGCAACCCTAACTCTAACCCTAATCGAATTAACAAAAAAATAAAAAAAACGACTTTAGAAAATCGATAGGGCGGTTTGCTAACCCTTTGTAAAATAGAGTCTGATACTCAGGTGACCACAGTCCACAGAAACCCTAGTCAATCAATTTATATATTCTAGAACCTACACCAAGTACAGTCACACATCGTATTGTAATCGACACGAAATGGGGGTTTGGTGCATTCCAAGAAATTGACAGTCCCTTGAAAGAACTGGTGGAGCAGTACAACAGTTTCCAGGATGACTGGGTCAAGAAACTGAAAGATATCCATGAAGAATGAGACTGTTTAATATTCTTTGCTGGCTTTTCATATACCCCTGGATTTGTAGTGTAGAAAGAAATTAAAGGTACAGCATACTTCTTTTTTGTACAAAATTGAATGCTGCTGTTGGCCCATTTTTAGAAGAATGAGAGTTGACAGTCGTACATTTTAACGGGGGGGGGGGGATTTCAAACTCTAGATTAACAAAATAAAGTTTGATAAGTGTTCCAATAAATAGAATACATTAATTATGGTGTTGAAAAAGCATCAAGAACAGCAATTCATTACTTAGAGCTGATCAATTCATTTGTTGAAAAATTGATCAACTTCCAGGTGATCTTGATACGCGGAAAAGTACTGGCACTAGTTGTCAAATAGAAATCCATTTTATGATTAAAACAACTGAATATCTCCTGTAATATACTTTATTTCGATTCCATATTTTTGTCAGAGCTATAGTTCTCGTAACCAAACATAATTACAAAATTTCAACTAGTTTCATAAAGAATAACGAAAGATATAATTGACTGAATACATCAAAATGGATTTCTATTCGGACAACCCTTTCTGAGCGCTGATTGGCTAAAATACGAACACGAGATCACCTGGTTCTTGTGTGTTTGAATCAACCAATGGCTTTACGTTTCAGTGACTGATTGACCAATTGGGAACAAGCATGCCAGTAAACAGGAAGTTGAGCAATTTTTAACCAAATGAATTGATCAATGTTAGGTAATGAATTGTTGCAATATTCTATCAACAATATTCTGCAACGACAGTAAACAGCTTCCATTTGGGCAGAGCTCAGCATCTGTGTTTTAGTGTAGTTCTTCTGATGTATTAAACCCCAAAGCATTAATATTGAGTAATGACAAATGACTAATGTAAGTTTTTTGTTAGACCCACCTCACGAAACACGGCTAAAATTAGTAAGTCCCCCCAGAGATTGAATTTATGAATAAGCCTTTACTTCTCGGCCATTTTAGAGGGGGGGAAAGGGGGGGGGGGGGTATGGATCACGTTTCACAACGAAAAAAAAAGCCGTTTCACGATTCACATGTCTTAAAAAAGCAATTTCACAGAAAACTAGATTCTCATAAAATAATATAATAATAATAGGTTTATTAAGACTTTGTTTAATGCATGGTACAGTATCTACGGTTTAAGTTCTCTCATTTCTCTACCTGTCAGTTAAAAACTACATCATAACTTACAAGTTTGAGTGCATGCGTGTCCTCAGCGCCAGGAACCTTGTCCTCACCAGCAGGAACCTTGTCCTCACCGCCAGGAACCTTGTCCTCACCGCCAGTAACCTTGTCCTCATCGCCAGTAACCTTGTCCTCACCGCCAGGAACCTAGCTTGTCCTCACCGCCAGGAACCTTGTCCTCACCGCCAGGAACCTTGTCCTCACCGCCAGAAACCTTTGGGCCATTTATACGGGACAAAATAAGTCGCGTCTTACATAAGACGAGTCTTATATAAGCGGAGTTATTGCGTAAATGGTTCTCTACGGATTTATTCTTATTTGTACTTTCTATAGCTATAATGTTGTTTCGGTTGTTTTTGTTTTAATATGCAAGGCTAATAATTTTACGTTGTTTCAAGTTTCGGGCATGTGTAGTAAGAATTTTTGTCCAAAATTTCTTGTTTAAGATGCGACTTAAATAAGAACAGCTAAAAGTCCTGTTCTTATGTAAGACGCGTCTTATCCAAAACGCGTCTTACATAAGAATTTTGTACCTTTTATACGACAAACTCGCGTCTTATTTAAGTCGCGTCTTATGTAAGTCGCTTCTTATTTTGTCCCGTATAAATGGCCCTCTTGTCCTCACCGCCAGTAACCTTGTCCTCACCGCCAGTAACCTTGTCCTCACCGCCAGTAACCTAGCTTGTCCTCACCGCCAGTAACCTTGTCCTCACCGCCAGTAACCTTGTCCTCACCGCCAGTAACCTTGTCCTCACCGCCAGTAACCTAGCTTGTCCTCACCGCCAGGAACCTTGTCCTCACCGCCAGGAACCTTGTCCTCACCGTCAGGAACCTTGTTCTCAGCGTCAGGAACCTTGTTCTCAGCGTCAGGAACCTTGTCTTCAGCGTCAGGAACCTTGTCTTCAGCGTCAGGAACCTTGTCCTCAGCGTCAGGAAGCTTGTCCTAAGCGTCAGGAAGCTTGTCCTCAGCGTCAGGATTCAGGAACCTTGTCCTCAGCGTCAGGAACCTCGCGAAAGGCCTCCGAAGTTTTTACTCTTGTGCAATCGAGTGAGATCATATAAATTTGATTATCGCGTATCATGTTTATTATAATAATCACTATAATAATCACAGTTCACGAAACAGGCATCCTTAATTCTCATTTCACGGAGCATTTTATCGACAATCAAGCCTCACGGCTGTAGAACAAATCACATTTCACGACACTAAAATCAAGCATTTCACATTTCGCCCGAACAAATATTCACCATTCACGGCTCACGAAAATACCCTTTCCCAACCTCTTAAGAGGCAATTGAGTAGACTGGATATTACTGCATGCATGCATGCATATAGGGCACTAACCTCTTATTAGTGGCTTAAATTTAAATCCAGCCTGTAAAACTCTTTTGTTTAGGTTTGTAAAATTTTTGATGTTCTTGTTGTTTATTATTGCATGGCCAATTGCAAAACTCTTGGACTGTGTACTGGGTGTTGATTATTCAACCTTTTTCAGGAGAGCAGGTGGGTTTCACTTCCATTACGTCGCATTGTGCCCTGTGCATTTTACTCTGTCTAACGCCAGATGACTTTACTTGTCAAGGAGAGGCCACTGAGGATCGATGGATTAAATTGTCTACGACACGATGAAATATTGTAATATAAAATCTAAGTTATATATAGAGAATAATACGTGGGTGCGCGGAAATACATAAAGGACAGTCTTTGAAAAGCGATAATTTTTACAGAAAAGCGAAAATTGAAAAGCGATAATTTTCACATGTGAGATTATCATAAATAATCTCACATGTGAGATCACTTTTATCAGTGCTCGAAATCTCTATAAAGCACTATACTTTATATAATAAATGACAATAATCTGGCAATTAGAATCTTTTCTGCTTCATCCATTTCATATTCTTTGAACAATAACAAGTGATCGAGACACCCAAAAGCCAAGCAAAGCGAATAGGGTGAAATCTTAGCGGGCAGACTGTCTGCAATGCAGGCTAACATTAGGCATATGTAATTAACATTTTAGAATTGAAAGAACTTGTATCGATGCATTTGGAACAGACTTTAGAAAATGAGGAGCCTTTGACTGGTGATGAAGTTCTCATTATTAAGGTTCGCTTTTGTATTTTATCCAGTTTCAATAAAGTTAGTTTAGGTTTTCTCCTGTAGTAACACTGGCCCAGTAAGAAGTAGCCCTTACTGAACCTACTTTAGATATGTAGGGCTATCCAGTATAACTAAAGTTGGTTTTCCTTTTGTTTATTTTTTATTGAACTAAGGGTACATTGGACATGAGAAACAAGACAGTTGCCGACGCCTACACCCCAATCCATCGAGTGTTCATGTTTGGTATTGATGAGAAGATGACCAAAGCAAATATGAATAAGGTGTGTATATCTAGCTTTTTACTGGAATGCCATATAATGCTAATGTCTTAAAAAAACCCAAAAGCAATGGACCATTCCCCAATTTGAAATTTTCAGTCATTTTAGATTACAAACGGAAAATGGTTACCACTTCTGTGCGTAATACAAAATGACTGAAAATTACAAACTTCGCAAGGCTATATTATCCGCATTTTACAACATTTTGCAACGAAACTTTGGAATATTACTAATTTTGTGATGCTCTTTCAAGCTGTGATGAAATTTTTGTTTAGGCTAGTTAAGATCAAAATTTTGCAAAAGTGGTAACCATTTCCCGTTTGTAATCTAAAATGACTGAAAATTTTAATTGGGGAATGGTCCATTTGCAAGTTGAGATTGTCTTCTGCTGAGATTGGAGTTGATCACTGAATGCGAGTCACCATACATTCCCTGAGATCCAGTGGCGGCGCCAGGCCTCCAAATTTGGGGGGCATTTGAGGGGCAAACTCAAATTTTTGGGGGGCAAGATAGAATTTTTAAAAAGGTCGCCCCCCAAGAGATTCGCCCCCCCCCCTTCAAAACGTGGCGATATCGCCTCCCATGGGGGTGAGGCGAATACCCTAGGAATATCGCCCCTCTTTAGGACATTCGCCCCCCATATATGCGATGTGGTTTATTCAAATAATTTCGTGATACTTTCATCTTATTAGTGCCTTACACGTTTGAGAATTTAACTCTGCAAAACTAAAGCTTTTTTGTCTTTTTTTGAAACTTATTATTGGAGTATTGGCAAGTTTTACCATTCGGAGATTTACAAAGTAATATTGAAACTGTAAAAAACAGTTTCATGTATACGCGCATTCACTAATGAATAATGACAACTTATAAGCCATACATTTTCCGATAACGAGAAAACGCTTGTGTAGCCTTTAGTCGCTCTTAGTGACTAATAATTTTTTTGATGGGGGGCAAAATGAGGGGGCAAAAAAAAATTGGGGGGGGGGGTATTTGCCCCCCCTGGCGCCGCCACTGCTGAGATCTAAATATGCAGAAAGTTTTATATTTTGCTTACACAGGAAATTTTTATTTTTGGATTTTGCTGCCTGGAAGAGAAACATATTTTCTTGGCCTTATCACCTCTTATCCTTGTGTGTGCCAGGCAACAAGTGCCTTCGCTTCAAACGTGGATGTTCTTGTATAGAGAATTTATATCAGACAATAATATTTATTGTGCATGCATCAGGCCTCGAATTTCCCTGGCTGAAATCAATCGACGGCAATGGCGTTAAAAATTGCCGTAGAACGTAACAGCTGTCTACGGCAATTTTGACAGTTACCACGGCATTTTTCAAATTACTGTAATAAAACTTTAATTTTATTGTTACTTTGGATTTTTGACAAGCTAGAAACATGTCTACGTATTTCTTTAGTGTTTTTTTTTTGAAGAAAACTGAGACTAAAATAGTGATTTACGCATGATTTGATCGATCAGCATCTGAATTCAAGTATCAAATTAGTAATGCACAGTGAATAGTATAAAAATTGCACTATACGGCAAAAAACTGTCGTCGTTGCCGCAATGATCCACGGCATTTTGTTCTCCCTCTACGGCAATTGCCGTGATTGCCGCGATAAAATTCGAGCCCTGTTGTGCATGCATGTGACATAATATTATGTTTCCTCAGGTTGTGGAACGCGGTCATTCACGTATCCCAGTGTACGAAACAGATCGAGAGAATATCATTGGTGTTCTGATGGCCAAAAGATTGATTCCAGTTAATCCTGAAGATGCTGTACCTGTGAAGGATCTCTGTAAAAAGAATCTCTTGACCGTGTTTATGAAGGATCCACTGTTTAATCTTCTAAATAAATTTCAGACTGGAAAAAGTAAGTCGATCCTCTGTGTTTGGTGGCATGTTGATGGCACCATGCATGACCAGGACGAGAGTAACACGATTATGAAATGTCAAGCTAACAGATTATAGGTTCCTCCAATGATAATGCACTATATCTTTCTTAGGTCATATTGCAATCGTTAAAGATCAAGTTGAACTTGATAATGGGTCGTTTCTTGAGGTACGGTACTGTATTAAAAAATTACGTCGTCTGATAAACTCCTTGACTCATATTGTCTGCTTTGGTCTGTGTTTCGCAATCTTTTAAATTATATTATTTTTTATTTAAAAAAATCCTGGTTTCTGATTGGCTAACAGCCAACTGTGAAATTGTCATATCAACTCAATGGCTAACCAAATACAGATTTTTCACATTCATATTAGCAAAATGACGTCAAAGAGTCAATATGAAAAAAATTTGGACGCGTTTGCGCCATATTACTATGACGACGAGAATCATATTGACTCGCTGACGCCATTGATATGACGCGACGACGGCTGCCGAAGGACTAGGGAATTGTTTTTTTCTTAATACAAATAAAATACAAATGTTTGTTTTGAATTTTTTAAATAAATAATAAAACAATTATTGAATTCGGTTTTCGCACAATTTGAAGAATTATCAAGCCCTCAGTTTGCCGTTATCAACCTCAGCCTTCGGCTTCGGGCTTGATAATTCTTCATATCGTGCTCAACCTCATTCAATAATTGTTAAAGTGCATATGACATGAAATTTCTGATTTTCTTAAATGAAAGAACTCTTTAAGTTCTAATGTAACTTATTTTTCAGTTTCTAGTTTTTATGGTTTGTTCCCGAGATATTTCAATTTGTTTGATATGTAAATAAGTGTGAATATGTCCGCTAAATTATGACGTCATGTTGGTTGCAAGCTCTTTAAAATGGTTGATTATCACTGATATCATCCAAGATGATAATTTCAAACTTCACTCACTGGTAAATGTGATGAAACACTGGAGAAACTGATATCCACAGTTTTTAGAGTTAATACATTTATAACGTCATAAATTAGCGGGCATATTCACACTCATTTACATATCAAACAAATTGAAATATCTCGGGAACAAACCATAAAAACAAGAAACTGAAAAATAAGTTACACTACAACTTAAAGAGTTCTTTCATTTAAGAAAATAAGAAATTTCATGTCATATGCACTTAAATCATCACGCATGGCTAATTAACGTAACGACTTAGAATTTACCTAAAGCCTGGAGCCGGTTGTATAAAACCCTTAATCACTTTCTTAATCACTATTTTGTAGTTAAATAGTGATTAACTCTCAAATAGGCGCTTCTTATTGGATGACATTTCCACTTAACTATGATTAACTTTAATCACTTTTTTATACAACCGGCCCCTGGTTTCCATATGGTTGTAAAAATTGAGTCACGATCTTTCTCAACGGCCAGTTTGTAATAGTTTATACCTGTAAACAACGTATAAATCGTAAGTATTCTCTAGTTATAATCACTCCGCATATTTTCAGTTTTGAAATGTTGTATTTCGGCTGATGAGAAAGATCGTGACTCAATCTTTACGACCGTTACGACCATATGGAAACCAGGCTCAAGTATGCAAAATTCATACTGTGAACACGGAAATTTTAATAGTGTTAACCAGTCTTGAAAAAAGGCGATTGTTTGGTTGGTTGGGAAAAAATTCAATATACATGTGCGTGTGACTATATGTAACGACCAATAGACCCATTGCATTGACGTCACAAATCCTTAGAATGTCCTCCAGATGCTCCCTAACAATTCCCTAACAATATATATTCGGATGCAACAACCAAATACAGCGCAAAAATTAATCATTTTAATTCAAAATTATTATAAAGTTTTACAAAATTTGCTTTGTTTACAAAAGTTATATTATGCATAGATTGCTAATTTGTCCTCCAGATGCATCGTCACTGGCGCTGTGACGTCATGTGCAATGGGTCTATATTCTGAAAAGCGGGTTGCCATAGGCCTAAATCAGGCCAGTTTACTCGCTGGGTAGGGAAAATACCATTGCCGAGCGCTTTGAGAAAGTGGAAGGGTTACTTTTTGGTGAGAGAGGAAACTGAAATATCCGGAGGGAAATCCCTCGATGCGTATAGGAATGGACCAGCCACAACTCACTGACTTCAACTACATCTTGTCTGTGTAGTCACTGGTGTAGCCCTGAAATGCTAACAAGGCGGCCGCTCTTAAAGGGGAGGGGTTGCACTGGTGACAATTATAGGCATGGTGGTGAGAAGGCGTAGTAGTCTCGACTGAGCAGTTACTGTGATATTCTATCATTAGACCATTCATGTGGCTTCTAACATGAAAGGAGTATTTTATTTTAAGTTTCAAGATTCCTTTCTTCAAAAAACATTGAAGAATTTCTGAAAAAATAAATACTGAAACGCCTATCATTTCAATACTACAGTTGCAAAGAACTTTCCAGGTTATAATTATGCAATCTGCAAAAATATTTAGGGTCCCCCCCCCTCTCCCTCCCTCCTCGGTTTAAACAAACTATTCTCTGTTTTACATATGGATGTACTTCGTTTCTTTAGAAAACGCTTGGTGTCATCACTTTAGAAGATATTATCGAGGAATTAATTCAAGAAGATATATATGATGAATCTGATCTGACTAGACTTCAAAAGAAAGTTCAACAACGTATCAACAAAATGTTCAAAGGAAAGTCACATCCAGGCATGAGGCGGCAGAAGAGTTATGATCCTACTAGACGCAATGTGGTGAGTTGAATTCTGATTGATATCTTTAATGTTGGGGTCAATGTATTTTTAAATTATTTATTTTAATTGTATGTTGGGGTCAATGTATTTTTTACTTAAAAGTAGTATTCTAGCCTCAATTGACCATTTGCGTAATAGACCACATTTTGATCTAAACAAGTCTAGACAAAAATTTCATCACAGCTCGAAAGAGCATCACAAAATTAGTAATACTCCAAAGTTTCGTTGCAAAATGTTGTAAAATGCGTAAAATATAACCTTGCGAAATTTGCAATTTTCAGTCATTTTATATTACAAACGGGAAATTGACAGCCTCAAAGCGATGCGGGCTGTCAATTTCCCGTTTGTAATCTAAAATGACTGAAAATTGCAAATTTCGCAAGGCTATATTTTACGCATTTTACAACATTTCCTAACGAAACTTTGGAATATTACTAATTTTGTGATGCTCTTTCAAGCTGTGATGAAATTTTTGTTGAGATCAAAATTTAGTCTATTACGCAAATGGTCAATTGTAGCTGCTGTTGCTGCTGTGGTTTGTATACATGGGCGTCCAGTGTAGTTCATGTTCTAGAATAAGCGTATAGGTAGTATTCCTATATCTGAAAAATATATCTCAAATGTGGTGGTTCATTGTAGGTAGTGTTCTACCTGAAAAAGATATCTCAAACGTGGTGATCCAGTGTAGGTAGTACTCCTACCTGAAAAATATATCTCAAATGTGGTGGTTCAGTGTAGGCAGTATTCTACAATAAGCTGCCGTCAGTAGTGTCTGAACTACCTGAGAAAGATATCTCAAACGTAGGGGTCCACTGTATGTAGTATTCTTTAATAAGCTGCCGTGGTTTGTGTCTGAACTACCTGAGAAAGATATCTCAAACGTGGTGGTCCAGTGTAGGTAGTATTCTACAATAAGCTGTTGTGATTTGTTTCTGAACTACCTGAAAAAGATATCCCAAACGTGTGGGTCCAGTGTTGGTAGTATCATGGATTGTAAAATAACTGGATAGGAAACTTCCTGACGTCACAGTCTAAACCTAGTTGCAATCTGTGACGTCACGCGTATTGCCAAAGTTCTCAGCATTTTTGTTGTTTCGCTATATTTTCCGCTTTAAAAGAGTAATATTGAAGCATAAACTGATCTAATTGTTTTAAAAACATGCCTAAGCGGCCACGACAAAGTATTCAAGGTAAATGTTTTTCGTCTTTGTTTTGTATTTTTTTACATTTGTAGCTACGAAATTGGCGTCGCCAATTTTAACGAAATTTGCGATGCATTTTTCACGGTTTAGTGCTTGAAATATTTGCTAAAATTGACTGGAAATACTTAGAGATTTCATCGTAGAATGGCCTAGTTATATTTATTTGCTCTTTGACTAAAATGTTTAGCTGTATTATTGCCAAACATGCCACATTTTTAAGAATTTGGTTTGCAGGTTTCAACGCCATCATCCCATTGAAAACATTAGGTCACGTCAGCTAGTTTCCTATCCATGTATTTTATTATCCATGGTAGTATTCTACAATAAGCCACCGTGGTTTGTCTCTGAACTACCTCAAAACATATCTCTCAAACGTGCTGTTGTGGTTTGTGTCTGAACTACGTGAAAAAGATTTCTCAAACGTGGTGGTTCAATGTAGGTAGTATTCTACAATAAGCTGTTGTGGTTTGTTTCTGAACTACCTGAAAAAGATGTCTCAAACGTGGTGGTCCAGTGCAGGTAGTATTCTACAATAAGCTGTTGTGGTTTGTTTCTGAACTACCTGAAAAAGATATCTCAAACGTTGTGGTCCAGTGTAGGTAGTATTCTACAATAAGCTGCTGTGGTTTGTGTCTGAACTATCTGAAAAATATATCTCAAACGTGGTGGTCCAGTGTAGGTAGTATTCTACAATAAGCTGTCGTGGTTTGTGTCTGAACTATCTGAAAAAGATGTTTCAAACGTGGTGGTCCAGTGTAGGTAGTATTCTACAATAAGCTGTTGTGATTTGTGTCTGAACTACCTGAAAAAGATTTCTCACACGTGGGGGTCCAATGTGGATAAGCTGTTGTGATTTGTGTCTGAACTGCCCGATAAAGTCTAAAAGCATTTTTGAGCAATGCCCTATTTATATATTTTGAGCGGATATTTATGTCCAGTAAAAATAAAGTTAGTTTTGATTGAACTATTCAACCATCCAGTATAAATAAAGTTAGTTTAGTTTAGGTTCTCTCCTGACTCCTGTAGTTCCACTGGATTACAAAGGCTGGCTCTTATACTGGATTATTTTATGAATAGTAAAGTAGATATATGTTTTAACGTAAATAGAATGACTGCCAGCAGTCAGTGGTTGATTTATAGAGGGGGTTGGTGCAAAAAATTAAAGAAAATGTTACTTTTACTTAAATGTTTGAGGTATTCAATATTTGTTATCAGTCTCAGACTAACTTAAGTTTTGGAATTCAAGGCAACACCACAGCACTAGTTCAAAATACTATGTCCAATATTAATATTTTTTAGTTACTTTAATTAAATGAAGCAAATTCTAATTTTGCTGCAAAAGTCTAACATTATAAGTATTTGATAATGAAAATAAAAAATTACAAAAGCAATCAAATATTCGAATGTGAAAAATCACAGTATATCAAGAGAATCGGGGATTTCTATTTTATATAATTATTAAATTATAGTTATTCTACATATTGGTAAATTGTAAGCACGAAACTACTAGGTGCACTTTCATGACACTACATGCACTGCCTGCCAGTGCTGGGTTCGGTATGCTTGGCTGCCCCCCCCCCCCAAAAAAAAAAAACAACAAAAAACCTTGCCAGATCCACCACTGCCAGCAATAATCGAGTGACTTCCAAGTCTCATGCACTCTCATAACACATTTGATCTTGGCTGCACTGGACGTCTAGCAGGAACAGTTTTGATAGAGCTATCCAGGTAATGGCTATAAGACAAACACATTGTGATAATCTTATTGTGTTTATTTAGCGATCAGTGAGTGACGTACCTGGGGAGTACGTGGGTGAAGAAGAAAACAGACCATTACTTGGACGAGGCTTTAGCACTGATTCAAGGACGATTAATGATGATGATTTTAGTACAACTACAATGAGTTCCGTCCCATGATTACAGGTGAACCATTCTCTCCACATATCTTATCCTTATAATGACCTCTTTATAATGTTGATGAGAAGTTAGATAGGATTTTTAGTTTTTGTTCACTACTACCACCCAAGCTTACGTTTTAAGCTAGACTTCTTTTTTTGGTTTACAGATCGTAAAAAACTGGACAGTGAATTCCGTTTCATCCGGAAAATAACCTAGAGTAGGGACGCCCTAATTGACGATTCCCCTTATTACGTTTTCGTAGCGCTTTGCATTGTGGTTATAGTGGTGTCACTGATAAAGATAGCGGCCTCGAATGAAAGTATTGAATGTTTTCGCGAATATTTTGCTGTTGGTATCGCGCACCTGACCCTAGCTTTTTTTAAAAGTTCTTGCACGGGTCAGGACAACAAATAAGTCATCTTGAATATCAGTGATACCACTATAACGACAATGCAAAGCGCTACGAAAACGTAATAAGGGGAATCATCAATTGAGCGATATCGTTTGGCGTTATAAAATCGATGCTGTTTGCAGAGATAAAATATCCCATAAAAGCTCACATGATGATACTGAACTATAGTGATCTAATTCTGGCACTGGAGCAAAAGTAATACACCCTTTCGATAATTACGTCATTTGGCCTGGGAGCCTCGCTCTCATGAATCGTGAGCCAATCACCTTGCATAATTTACTAATGAGAGCGAGGCTCCAAGACCAAAAAGTATGTATGACGTAATTATCGAAAGGGTGTATTCAGGGGCAACTGGCCGCCATGTTCCTAAGCAGTGCGTTAAGGATAGCCCGTCACCCCCATAGTCACCCCACTCACCCCGATGACATTCAAAATGGCGGACTTCCTCTAGGAACTCCTGGCTTAGGAACACTGCGGCTGGTTACCGGGTTTTTGCCGTGTCAAACCTCTGTATGGTCTACACAGTGGCGTAAATCTCGGGGGACGGCCGCCTCCCCACCTTCGAATTTTCGGAAATTTTGACCTATAAAAGGGCGAAAAACAGCCTTTTCGAGTGCAAATGCGGGGTTGTCGGAAATTTGAAAGTTTTGTCGGAAATTTAGAAGGCTTCGCCCCCCACCGGAAAAAGCGAATTTCCGCCACTGGGTCTACACTCTGTGACTGTGGCAATAGTGTTAGCTTATCGTTGATGGTTTTTTTCTTTAGTATATACCAGAAGTTCCTGGCCACAATCAGTTGATCAAAGTTCCTTATCCAGATAACTACTGTTCCAAAATGATGACATTTTACTTAACAACGCGGATCTTCAATTTGGGAAGGTAGAATACACTTGTAGAGTGTTGGTATATTATCTAATGTACAGAATTTTCCAAAGCTTTGGGTAGCTTTGAAACCCGAACTGACGTTATGAAGACGTTATTATAAAATAACTTCTTCACAATGAATTAATGAATCTTGCTATAAGCACTTATATGCTTGTATACGATGCAAACACGTGATTTGACATACGTACAATGATTGTAGATATTTAATTGAGTCTTCCGCTAAATTAACTATGATTCACCAATTAGATAATTCAATTGACAACAGAACTTTTTTGTTCAGTTTCAATTATTGAATTTTGCTATTTGAATTTTACCCTATTCGTCATTAATTAGGTAAAATACCTAATTAATCGAAACGAAAATTAATTACAATAATTTGGTACATGCTATTGCTTACAATATCGAGATAACTGCGGATTTATACAACTGCTAAATTGGATTTATATTTGTATAAAAATGAAAATTCACTATTTTCTATTGCAGCCGTTAAAACGATTTATGAATTGGAAACGCGGCTAAATACTTATAAATAGGCGCGATTTGGCACGCCTGATTGCCCAATTACGACAAGGCCCGAGTTCTGTCCGAGTGACGTCATTATGAAATGAACAACATCGATTCGCAGTTGTATATCTTTCTTCAGCCTCAGACATTCCGATAGTCGATTTACAAATATGCGCTCGTCTGTGGCCCGTTTATAAGCGCTTTTCTCTAGCCCAGCGATATGGTCATTTCGGGCAATGATAGCATCGAATTTGTAGTGAACGAAAGTGCGTTTTTGTGCTTGAAACAACGGCTGAAGAGAGTCGAAAGTTTATATAATGTGACGGTACGAAGTGACAGTCTTGAAGGGGAATTAAGATGGGTCAAAGTGATTGGAGACGAGAAACTACGCATGAAAGCAAAGGTTAGCGCTTAAATGATATATTTTGTCTCCATTTAGAAGTTCGATACAGTAATATACTCTCTGTGTATGTATTTAACCAATAGACAATGTATTGTTTACCCGAATTATTCATGTATGCCAAAAGTTGTTATTTGAAAGCATGTTTCAAAATATTTTATATCACCTACACTTAAGCATATTTTCGCTTGCTAAAACACATTCCACGAACTGTAGCTTTATTCATGTGTGTTTTCATTGATTCTAGGAGTATATTACTTCCATGGGAAAGCCCGAATGCGAGAAAATAATCGACATTGGACAATTGAACGAAGCAAGCTTAGACGAATTTCTCTTCGTATTGGAACGGCAATGTTCGGCGAATATAGTGCTGATTGATAAATCTTCGATACGTGTTTCTGGTAGCGCTGTTTCTGTGGCAAAAGTTGAATCGTATCTGAATAATTTGCTTTCAAATAGTCAAAACATTGAGCTCGAGTTACCACTAAAACGCGCTCGCCTCGAAAGCAGCTCATCAGTTGACAGTAAAGACACAACGATTCTGAGTGACGACTTCTCGGCATTTGATTATCAAGTCGAAGACTTGCTTGTCAGCCTGCGCGACGAAGAAAAATATGGTCTGATCGTTTCAGATTCGGGCTTAAAAGAGAACATCGACCCAATGCTTCACGAAACGTCCGAAGATTTTGCTGCAAAGTTAGGTTACAGCAAAGATTTGTATGCTCAAGCTGTGAAAAAAGTTGGTCGAGAAGCTGACCGCAATGAACTTCTCAACGAATTGGTAAAGCTGAAAAATTCCCGAAAAGAATTACACGAAGAACCCCAAAAGGAACGGGCCGATCGCCGAAGGAGTTCTTGTTCATCTATGACCACTTCAAAACAACTTCGGCCGATTATTATCGACGGTTCAAATGTCGCAATGAGGTAAGCAGTGTTCTAATTCATAATTGCAACATTTTCGAATGGCTTAGTTCATTGCAACATTTCGGAATATTTGTAACATTTTGGAATGTTCACAACGGTGAAATGATATTATTTAACGGCAATATATTGTATTGTACTGAGATTAATAGGCTTCAAAAGCGAATTGTTTTCGGATTGCGTTGCGTGGGATTGGGTAATTAAATATATTATTTTACAATTCAGTGAGGAAAAAAATGGCAGATTCAGCCATCAGGGCAATTACATGTAAAATGCTCTAACTTTTCATTCAAAGTATATCGATTTCTATGATTCTTTTTGTTTGAAATTTTAATGACAAATACCAAGATATACAACCTCTATAAAAGTTACTCAATCGTGTCGAACAAATTCGTAGGCAAGCAGTAAACCCGATTTAAAATTACAATGCAAACTATTAACTCTAATTTTGCGGCCAATATGTATTTCGAGAACATTTCAAACGGGTAAAATATACTACGGTATAACCCGCAAACACAGCTGTTTAAACAGGGCTTTTTCGGCCTTATAAAAGTCGACTTTTTCCGGAATTCCTGATATTAAAAAAGTACTTCTTATGGTTTCTCTTGAGATGATAAATAAGTTCTATTTTTCAACTAATTTGACATTTTTATAAAGGGTCAATCTGTGCTATTGGAAAAGGGAAACAAATCGAATACGACGGCGGTATTTTTCGTGAGCTAATATTTAATATGCCCAACAAATATAGGCACATGTTTTCAAAATGCCTATTAATAATTTTTTGCGCAATAGCAATGCCTTAGAAATCTTCAGTCAAGTACATGGTAACTTGTAAGCAAAGTGGCTTTATTGTAAAAACGTAACCTATTTTAAATATTGAAAGTAGAGGCTTGAAAAAGGGACAGACGACTTTTTTGTGCCAACTAGCTTTCGAAAAGCTATGAATTTTAAACCAATTACAAAAGGTTCTGTATTCGCGAGAGAAAAAACGAACCAATACATTCGAAATGTCATACACTGCGTTTGATAGTATATTCTTTGTGAAACGCTGCAGAAAGATCTTTGATTTTTATAGTACTGTTTAAGATTTGTGTAAAAAACCACATGCTTGGGTAATGAGTCATGAAGGCTCCCCCACTGTGCATCGGAATTTTACATACGTATTTGGCTGATGGCCAGTGTATTTGGCCTGGCATTGAAACCTATATTCTGTATGTGTTGACAAGTCCACAATACCATATCATGAAACGAAATACTTTGACTTGATATTAAACATGTTACTTGTTAACATTTCATGCTAGCATGCTTTCGTTTTAAATTAGATCGCACCTTTTTGCGGTCAAAGTCACGCGAACATTTGGGGATTCATTTGCATCAGTTTGCAAAATGGATTTGCGCAATCTATACGACCAATTTTCGGATTTACGCACTAAAAAGCGCTTGGGTTTGCATATTTTGCGCGTTCTATATAAACTTCATTTCTTAATTATCAATTGTCACTAAATTTTAATTGCCTATATCAAAAACTAGATATATAAACATTAAACATATTTGTAGCCAATATATCAAATTGCATTATGTTTTCTTTAGCTCTGAGAGGGTAGCACAAGCTTATCCTGATTTGAAAACTAATTTCATTTCCTTCTTGGTGCGAAATATGCAAAGAATTTAATTTAGTAATTGGTTTTGGCAATGACCTCTATTTTGAACTTATATTTCACTGCCAATTCAATGTTCGATGTTTTAATATACATTGAAAGGTTTTTCATATTTTACAAATGGCTATAAATCATAACTCTTTTTAAGCTGTTTGTTTTTTATAGCCTAAAGCTGTTTATTTCCCTGGAAAATATAAACATATTCAATTTCTTATAATCCTTATTGGCACTTTAATTCCATTTGTCTGGTGACTGTTCTGGTTATTAGCATTTACATATTATGCGTGTTGGGTTGAAAGGTCAAAAAGTTGCCTGTTGCTTGAAAGATGAATATAATATACATCACGAAACTGCTTTTATTGATAGATTAGTGTTAAAAAACATGTTTATTATCCACAAAACAGACCAGGATTCATTCGTTTCTGTAAATTGCTAAGTGGTGTTTGAATACCAAAACCATATTGTTGCAAAAGATTTCAGTTGGTTAATCGGATCATTACACCTGTCAAGGTGTTATCCCTCTCAACAAATGAATGCCTAATATTCTTGTTTTTAGACATCACTGTGAATCTAGAAAGCTCTACTCAGTCACAATGTCTGGGTTGAGATGTATCACTCCATCCGTAGGCTCTCAAAAACGGCCAAAAATTATGGGTTTCAACAAGCAGGAGGGAATCAGTTTTAGACCATTTCTTGCTGTGATAGTGCACCTTTTCTTATAAAAACTGAAATCAAGCAGAAACCAGCAAAAACAAGTGAATAAGCTTCACAAAACCATGCAGTTAAAAACATGTACATATGCTACTCTCACAAGACTCATTTTCAGAAACAACTGTATTAATTCAATCTAATTTTTTTTTTAATGAAGTACAATGAAATGTGCAGAGAAATGCATGTAATTACAAGCTTTATTTCTGTGTATAAATTTAAACAATTATTTTTGCAACAAATCTGCCTATAAACATGTATTATAAACATGTGATTTGGTTTCATTGAAATCTGGTATTTCTTAAAGTTTTTAGATTTTTTTGTTTTTCCTGCAAAAACAACATTGGTTAAATTGGTTCTCAAAAGATATTAGTTTTTTTTAGCTTATCAATTAACACCTCATCCTGAAGGTATCAGACAATCAGGCAGCAATTTTTTCAGGCCATTGAAGAATTTGCCATGTTATTGTAAACCTTAACTAACTAGTAACTTATTCGACTAGAGAGTCTTGGTTATGAATGCAAAACTATATGCCAATTAAAGCGTCTTGTTAACCCATTGGGCAGCAAATTGTACCCAATGTGCTCAAATCTATCATTTTATTCTATCCAGCACAAGGCAATTTTGTGGGTAGTTATTACCCATCCAGTGACGGCACTTCCCTTGATGAGTGAAATTGTCTGGCGTTAGACAGAGTAAAATAATAATGTAGGCCACATTGCCACTTAGAGGGTTAAATAAGCAATTCTTTTTCTATCTATTTAGCCATGGCAAACAGAAGATATTTTCGTGCAGAGGCATTCAGATTGCAGTGGACTGGTTCATTCCACGTGGCCACAAATTAATTTATGTTGTCATTCCATTATGGAGGAAAGAATCTCCTTCGGAAAGTAACATGATTTCCAACCAGGAAGTGCTAAAAATCCTAGATGAGGAGAGAGGAGCTGTTAATATGATTTATACACCTTCCAAGACTTTGAAACAGAGAAGGATTGCTTGTTATGATGATAGATACATCCTGAACATAGCTTGCGATAAAGACGGGGTGGTCGTTTCGAATGATAACTTTAGAGACCTGTATTTGGAGAACAAGCCCGAATGGAGAAAGATTATCGAGGAGCGTGTACTGATGTTTTCATTTGTGGATGACATGTTTATGCCCCCTGACGACCCCCATGGTAGAAATGGCCCCCATATAGACGAACTGCTGTCTTTTGGGTCTTCATCGAGAACTAGAGTTTGTCATTATGGCCGACATTGCACGTATGGACGAAATTGCAAGTACGCTCACCCAGAGCGAGAGGGCGAACACATACTTCGTGATACACCATCCAATGCACCACGGCCATATTCAGAACCAGTGCCTCTCACCGATGCCATGTGTGACGATTTCAAACGACTCAGCTTGCCCGATCTAAACAGAAACCAACCCCCGCCTATTGTAGCTCGTTCTAGGCATGTCAGTCCACAACATCCCCCAGCCCTCCCTTCCAGACGTCCAACTCCGCAACACCATGCTCCACCTCTGCCACCCAGGAGTAATGGTATCCATTGTGGAATGCGAACGACCAATGAAAGTCCTTACGCACCCCTGCCCGTACATGTGGAGCAAGCACAAATGATGTATCTTGCAAGACAACAACAACCCCGCCTCCCTCCCAGGCGAAATCGAAATTACGACACGCTGCCATTTACCCACCCAGTGATCCCCATTCCACCTCATGCCCAGAACCATCAGTATTACAACCTCCCCCCGCCACCAGGGGCGTACATCCCGAGCCGTCGTGGTAGGGGTGGGCCATATGATAACCTACCACCAAACGGCCAAATGCCAGTGTACCCTCCAAGAAATCATGCTATCTACCAAACGCAGCAAAACTACTACAGATCCCGAGCCCCGCCGGCTGACGACAGCAGTGACGAAGACATGCCCATGGTACTTGAGGACACACAAATGGTTGAGTCCGAGCATCTCCGAGGGATTTCCAAAAGGATCCACTGTCGGGAGAATGGTACGGAGTCACGGATGCAAGCTATGGTCAATGTTGCATAGGTGAAGATTAATTTTAGTATTTCTTTAAAATATTTAAGGCTGGGTCTTACATGTATACTACATCAGAGGTATTTATATTCTAGCACAATTTTAAGTTATAATAATTGCGGTCCTCTGTGGCATATCGTAGATCCTCTATTAACACCCCCCCCCCCCTCAAATAAGCCTCCCATTTTGAGAGAAGATTGATGAACCCCCTCTCTATTAAGCACCCCTCCCTCAATCAGGGCAGCCAACAGGGTGGTCATGGGGCCCTTTCCCCCGGGCCCCCAGGTTGAAAGGGGCACCAAAAGCAATGAGGCACCCACCCCCGTCAAGTGTGTAAGTGGGGCTTACAGGGGATCTACGGTATTCCAGAATCAGTAAGCAGAACACCAGCCCTGGATTTTATTGGTGGGTTTTATTAATAAGCATTTGGGGGCAACCATCATAAATCAAGTCGACAACCATCATAAATCACTTTTCAATCAAAGACAAACCCACTAAGCCATTTATGCGGTTATGCGGTTATGAGAGCATATCAAGTTACTTATCCAATAAAATTTTGCTTTGTCAGCCGATTCTGTAAAAAATATTGTACAAATATTAAAATGTTTTGAAGAATGCAAGTTAAGAAATATAAGAGAATATGGAAATTTGTGGCATGAAAAACCAGTGTTTGTAACAAATTTAAGAATTCCAAATATTTTGTGATGTGTGAAAATCATGTCGCCTATAAGAAGTTTCGAACGTTAGGGTTCTTTAATATTGCATCGTTCAAAATTGTAAATTTATAGACGTTTAAAATTTTGGCTTTAATATTGCATCGTTCAAAATTGTAAATTTATAGACGTTTAAAATTTTGACTTTAATGAATTAATTAATGTGGGACTGTTCATTAATTAATTAAGTTAATTAATCATGTTGCTGGCACGAAAGTGAAATTTGTTGAGTCATCATTTCTTTGACTTCTTTGGCTTGATCAGTTTAGCGGAAATATTTTTCGATTCTAGTACGGTTGAATATTAAAAAAACTAAATTCAAGAATCATGTCAATCAACACAGGTAGTCTAATGAGTAATGACAACATTTACTTTTATTAATATTTAAACAATTCTTTTATTTCCCCTTTGAAAAAGCTTACTCCTTGAGATTGGAAATTTATTTTCTACAGAGAATATCTCAATTTTTGTGTATCACATTTCCAGAATTGACCCATTGAGCTGCCATGCGCCCCAGTGCACCCTGCCTATTTTTTTTACTTGTCTAACAACATATGATATTACTCGTCAATGGGGGAGCTGACTGCAGCTTAATGGGTTAACCAAAATATCCGACAATGTCTCGAGTTAACCCATTGAGCCGCAATGCGCCCTGCCTATTTTTTTACTTGTCTAATACCAGACTATTTTACTGGTCATTGGGGAAGCTCTACAGCTTAATGGGTTGAACAATATTTTAGCAAAACCAATTCTATAATAAGATGTTTATATAGAACTTTCAACAATGTATATATTGCTGTTGATATTTGAGTATGTGGTTTTTTCAAGCATAGGTTTTTATGCCACCAGCATGTTTTACAATCTCAAATACACCGAACACTAAATTCAAAACATGAAATTTTCTTTGAATGCCTAGATGGGGTTAATGATTTAGCGCTCTTTATAAGAGTTCAAAAACTTTAAATAATTCTAATTCATTGTTACACAAGAATTTGCACTGTCTAATGTATTGTATAATCGAACTTTTAAAACTTTATAAAAAGTATTTTTATATATTTGATCTTTTATAAAGATCCTTTTCGTAGCTTCGCTAGAAATAAACTATATATTGTTACATGCGAGAACTGTCTTGTACATTTCAACAAGAAGGAGTTCCATTTTTGTAAGTGGGGGTACCAGAGAAAAAATCTAACTATATAAAAAAATATGCCTATATATTGTATAAGATAGCGTTCTCAAAGTGGCACAAAATATGGAATAATAAAAACAGTAAATATATAGCATCACAATAATATACTGGCATCTGCAAAAATGAACCATTAAATTTTGATTAATGATAAAAAATCTGCTCTGTCAATTAGCAGCTGATTAATAAATTATTGAAGTTAGCAGCTGATTAAATTCTGAGAGGTTCGCCAAGAAGATTTAGGTTTGATAATCCATCCTTTTTTGTGCTGTTTTGAGAATGCCACTGTGACACTTTTCATATGAAATATGTCTTACCATTGTGTTATTGTATTTGTAAATATACGAAAACAAAAAAATGTAGTTACATTTTATATCCGTAATTATCTTATATTTCAATAAAATATTTTAAATTCTCTGTGTTCAGTTCATTTTCTTTGTGGGGTAGTTTTCAATTCTGTGTTGATTTCTTGGTAGTCTTTGAAGAGTTGTCGAAGAAGTGCCAAGTTCGTGGCAAATGTAAATCCAGCGTCTTGGTGCTGGAGTAAAATAAATACACATTTAAATTTCTGAATTATACTCTAGTTTTTTGGCTGTTCATATTAAGGAGAGGTAGCCTGGATCGCAATATATCTCTTTTTTCAGGTTCTTTGTCTTTTTTGGTGCTTGGCTAAACCATTTTTTTCTCAAAAAACCCGATATTTTCCGGTATGCTGAAAAACCGCCCCAACCTACTATTACAGTCATCTCTCTAATAGAGAGGTGTCTGTATTAGAGAGATGACTGTAATACAGATGCCTCTCTAATACAGACAGGTCTCTAATACAGACACCTCTATAATACAGATACCTCTCTAATACGAACACCTCTTTAACATGGACAGCTCTCTAATACAGACGCCTCTCTAATACAGACACCTCTCTAATAAATCCACTTCTCTAATACAGACACCCCTCCAATTCCAGACACCTCTCAAATATGGACACCTCTCTAATAATATGAGAGAGGTTTATTAAGCAAAATTAAAACCTGAAAAAGTTGACATGCCTACGTTCCTTGCTGAAAACCTGTAAATACGTTCTTTTAATATTGTCTTACTTGTATTTTTATACTTATGTAAGCTTTTGATATTAAGCATCTAAAACTAAAGTTCTTCACATAATAAAAACATGTGATACACTATTTTATGTCTATTTGTTATTTATAATAAAAAAACGGGTTTTTTCTTGATGGTTTCAGTTTTTTACAAGAACCGCCCCAGCCTATGTAATAGAGAGGTGTCTGTATTAGAGGTGTCTATATTAGAGAGGTGTCCATATTAGAGAGGTGTCCATATTAGAGGGATGTCCATATTAGAGAGGTGTCCATATTAGAGAGATGTTCATATTAGAGAGATGTCCATATGAGGGAGATGTTCATATTAGAGAGATGTCCATATGAGGGAGATGTTCATATTAGAGCGATGTCCATATTAGGGAGATGTCCATATTAGAGAGATGTTCATATTAGAGAGGTGTTCATATTAGAGAGGCGTCCATTTTAGAGAGGCGTCCATTTTAGAGAGGCGTCCATATTAGAGAGGTGGTCATATTAGAGAGGTGGTCATATTAGAGAGGTGGTCATATTAGAGAGGTGTCCATATTAGAGAGGTGTTCATATTAGAGATGTTCATATTAGAGAGGTGTCGATATTGGAGAGGTGTCCATATTAGAGAGATGTCCATATTAGACAGATGTCCGTATTAGAGAGATGTTCATATTAGAGAGGTGTTCATATTAGAGAGGTGTTCATATTAGAGAGGCGTCCATTTTAGAGAGGTGGTCATATTAGAGAGGTGGTCATATTAGAGAGGTGTCCATATTAGAGAGGTGTCCATATTAGAGAGATGTCCATATTGGAGAGGTGTCCATATTAGAGAGGTGTCCATATTAGAGAGGTGTCCATATTAGAGAGGTGTCCATATTGGAGAGGTGTCCATATTAGAGAGATGTCCATATTAGAGAGATGTTCATATTAGAGAGATGTTCATATTAGAGAGATGTTCATATTAGAGAGGTGTCCATATTAGAGAGATGTCCATATTAGAGAGTGTCCATATTAGAGAGGTGTCCATATTAGAGAGGTGTCCATATTAGAGAGGTGTCCATATTAGAGAGATGTCCATATTAGAGAGGTGTTCATATTAGAGAGGTGTTCATATTAGAGAGGTGTCCATATTAGAGAGGCGTCCATTTTAGAGAGGCGTCCATTTTAGGGAGGCGTCCATTTTAGAGAGGCGTCCATTTTAGAGAGGCGGTCATATTAGAGAGGTGGTCATATTAGAAAGGTGTCCATATTAGAGAGATGTTCATATTAGAGATGTTCATATTAGAGAGGTGTCCATATTGGAGAGGTGTCTATATTAGAGAGGTGTCCATATTAGAGAGATGTCCATATTAGAGAGATGTTCATATTAGAGAGGTGTCTATATTAGAGAGGTGTCCATATTAGAGAGATGTTCATATTAGAGAGATGTCCATATTAGAGAGGTGTTCATATTAGAGAGATGTTCATATTAGAGAGATGTTCATATTAGAGAGGTGTCCATATTAGAGAGATGTTCATATTGGAGAGATGTTCATATTGGAGAGATGTTCATATTGGAGAGATGTTCATATTAGAGAGATGTTCATATTAGAGAGATGTTCATATTAGAGAGATGTTCATATTAGAGAGATGTTCATATTAGAGAGATGTCCATATTAGAGAGGTGTCTATATTAGAGAGATGTTCATATTAGAGAGATGTTCATATTAGAGAGATGTTCATATTAGAGAGGTGTTCATATTAGAGAGATGTTCATATTAGAGAGATGTTCATATTAGAGAGATGTTCATATTAGAGAGATGTTCATATTAGAGAGGTCTTCATATTAGAGAGGTCTTCATATTAGAGAGATGTCTTCATATTAGAAATGTCTTCATATCAGAGAGATGTTCATATTAGAGAGATGTTCATATTAGAGAGGTCTTCATATTAGAGAGATCTTCATATTAGAGAGATGTCTTCATATTAGAGATGTCTTCATATTAGAGAGATGTCTTCATATTAGAGAGGTGTGCATATTAGAGAGATGTCTGTACTTGAGAGGTGTTTGTAATAGAGAGAATTTTGATATTGTCCGATGATTGAAAGTCGGATTTGTTTACCATACCAAGAGGTTATGTAGTCTGGAGAATTACAAATATTCATAATAAATAATGTTAACCCTTTCTTTACTGTTTTATCCTGTCTAATGCCAGACAATTTCTCTGTCTAATGCCAGATGATTTTACTCTGTCAAGGGGGAGTTCTGGCACTTTGTTATACTATTACATGTCTGAAATTTGTAGTATCCTGTTATTCATAGGACATTGTTCCAAGTAAAAAATAACAAGAGAAAAAAAAACAACTTTATAGTCCGATTAAAAGGCCCAGGGTGTCCACAGGCCTTGAAAATCCTGGAAAGTCCTTGAATTGGAAAGTCCTTGAACTGGATAAGTCCTTGAAAATCAGTAGAATTCTTGAAAGTCCTGGAATTAATTTCCTTAACCTCCAGTTGTGCCAACATTAGTGTCTTAGTGATTTTGATCTAGCCTGCGTAACGGCTCTCAGAGAAAGTATCTACTTTCTCTGAAAGCAGTTACGCAGGCTAATTTTGATCAAAATTACTGAATAAAGTGAATTATTTTACGGCAAATCTGTGTCATTTTTAAAGATTTTTCCCAGTTCTAGGTCCTTGAATTTACTGATAAAGGTCCTTGAAAGTCCTGGAAAAGTCCTTGAATTTCACCTTCACCAAAGGGTGGACACTCTGGATGCCACAAACATTCTATAATACCTATAATACCTGTCATATCAGCAACTTCGGCTAACTTGCATTGTTTTTGCTGAATACCACTCGCAGGCTATCCAAGGGGGCACCCTCTGTCATTAACCCCACGCCACATTGTGACATTAACAAAACAATCAACCCACTGGCACTGCCTCAAAACCCTCTGCCCCGTCATACAGCAAACTCCTAGCAGTCTTTAACAACTGATGTTGAGAGCCAACTGATCTCTTACTTACGGACCAGCACGCTAGATATCTCGTCGCTTAAAAGGCATCGAAGTAGACCAGTGTCACCAGTTTAATAACCAACAAGTTTTGCGGCTTCCGATGCCCAATTTTGAAACACCGCTTGGTGAATTTAATTCTCTCGATACAATGTAGGTGGTTTTAGCTCTATTTTCTAAGTCTATTTAGAAAGCGTATGCTATGTACGTGCTGAGAAGAAGCTAGTTTTGTTGGTATGATTTTTTTGAAAATTTGGGAGTGGCCATGTATGACCCCCATGTATGTATGTTGACCGAGCCAGGACAAACTTGGTTACATGAAGTAACGGTGTTGCTTTATCCAGTGTTGTATACAGGTCAGTGGCTCAGACGACTTCGGATTCTCCCGATGTTCGCCCGAAGAGCATATTCTTATTTAATACTGTATTTTTGTTGATTTTCAAAATGTTTAGTGAGCAAAAATTGTTGTGTTACAGTCGTGGTTGGGTCAAACAATATGCGGAAAGCAAAAATAGCGAAGGTAAACCGTAAAGAGATTAAAATTATATTGGATTTAGTTTTACCAAATATGGTAGTCCCCCGTCGATGACCTTGTGACGTCAGGTACATACGGGACTTTGGGGGAGTTTTTGGCGGGAAAATTTGTAAGGTTTGGAGAAGACAAGATGGCGCTGGTTACTTCGTGTCATCAAAGGGCATTTTTGTTCACAAATACCCGCTTATTTTACGTTATAACGACTGGTTAGTTTTTGAAATTATAACTCAATGGACAGGGAAAAGAATTCTGTAGTAAAGAGAAAAAGACGTGCAGTTATTGTGATGTTATTTGTTGTGAAAGACGGCCCGAAATTTCGCTACATCGCTGAGCGCCCTGAGCCTGTACTGGTTTATAAAAAAAATACAAGCAACAGCAACTGAACTATATGACGAAAAAACCAAATACCAATGTGTACAAGTCCAACGTATTGTCATTTTTGGATGTGTGAAATAAGTTCAGTTGGATTTGCAGATGAAGCACATGCCACATGGAAGGTCAGTTTTCAATTAGTTTTATATTAACTATTTAAAGCACTATTAGACAAGAATGATTTGAAAATTTTCCTTCAATGGTTGCTTTTTATTGGTCGAAAGTTTTAATATATTGTTTTGACAAGAGAAATGTTTCTCAACAATTTTCAGAATGTTTAGAATATTTTTGGGCTTGGTTTGAAGTTCAAACCAAGCCCAAAAATCTGAATACAAGTCGTTTTGCCCCACCCAAGTCGATTTGCCCCAAGTCGATTTGCCCCAATGTTTCGTTGCCAAAAAATATTGGGTCATTCCAGAAAACATCCATATCACGCCCACAGTGGAAATAGGAAGTTAACCCCCCCTACCCCCTTTGGATGTCCTAATACATTTACTATTAGGGACTGGTTATAATTTATCAGGGGGGGGGAGGTGTAATTCAAAATTTTAAGGAATGATATTTTGTGACCCTGCTTTGCCATAACCCGGAAAAATAAATATGCCCCCCCCCCTCTTGCTCGTGTCAGTAAAAATGTACCTACATACTACTAAACCCTGCATTCAATAAATTTTCTAATTGCACTTTAAATTTTCTAATTTTCTAGTTGCGCTTTAAATCAAATACTAAAATTTATATTATACCAATACATAGTCATATATAAAACTTTAGTAATTTTTCAAACTTTTCATTCTAAGTTTAAAGAATCAATTTTTTTCAATGCAACTCAAACAAAATGTGAGAAGGCATGCATGTATAAAACAATTAATTGAACTAAAACAGCAGATCCCCTCCCCGCCTTCATAAACTGTCTAATATTTTATGAACCCCCCTTTTTCCTGGCTAAAAAATATGTGACCTCCCCACTGTTTCCACCTCCCCACCCCTCCTGCTAAATTATGACCAGTCCCTTATCAGAAACAATTTTTTCTCCCCTCCCCCTCCGGACGGCAGAAATGTTGTCCTTTGGGGGAGTATGGATCTTTTCTGGAACGACCCATTGTTTCGTTGTTGTAATTGTTTCATTCGGCCTTTGTCAAAAACTAATCACCGTTCTGGGAATTGTTTCGTTCAACCGTTGTAAAAACTAATCACTGTGTGATCACTGACTTTGTCAAACATTCTCGCATTTTGTCAGTAATTCTGTCACCTTAATAGTGAATAGGTTTTTGATTTTTGCGTGTTTGCCGTTTGATCCATTTGTCCACAATACTCGCAATTATGGGCTAGTTGGTTAGTTTGTAAGAGATAATTAATTCACTTGCTAATTGGGGGCGAAACGACTTGGGGGCGAAAGAAACGACTTTGGCGTAAAAAAATACCTGTGGTTCCGGTTCCCAACCGACCCTATTTTTTCTGTCAACCCTATTATTTTTTCAACATGCATAGACGGATTTTCTGGGGGGTGCAGGGGGGTGTGCTACCACCCCAATATTAGCTATAACCCCCCCAAACAAAATGTCCACCCCTCCAAAAAAAAATTCAAACCCCCCCCAATATTCGGCATAATAAATAAATAATTAAATAGTCCCCTCTAACGTGCAGAGTGTTGATCATACAAAATAAACGTAGGAGTACACTCGAACAGAAAAAGACAGTGCAACACTCTGAAACTAATCGCTCCTCGCTTGCATTCACTGGTTTATTGGAGCAATTGTAAAGTTTTGAAACTCTATTATCTTCCCTGAATAGAGTTGGCAGTGCCTTGACATGCGAATAG